TCCTGAGGCGCACAGCAACTGGAACTGGAACCAGGGGTCAGGAGTGAGGCTGGGACTAGAACTCTGGCACTTCATCCCAGTGGCTTCTTATGCCAAACACTCACCCTGAACTGTATAAACCACTGTGGGTGATTTCAGTGTTTCACCAAGACTGAGAACCAACACTCAACATAGTTAAGTTTACTGTAGGAGAAAGTTTAGCTAGAGAGTAGGGGTGTGTGATAAGCCTGTGTGACTCTTGTTCAGTTTTCTGCCTTGCCACTTGCAATACGATAGATGAGACAGTATTAAAGAAGGGAGAAAACTTCTTAAAATTTTAAAAAAATATTTATTTTTATTTATTTGAAAGACAGGGTTACAGAGAGAGTTAGCGCCAGGGAGTGGTGGTGGTGGGAGAGGTCTTCCATCCGCTGGTTCATTCCCCAAATGGCTGCAACAGCCAGAGCTGAGCTGATCTGAAGCCAGGAGCCAGGAGCTTCTTCTGGGTCTCCCACGTGGGTGCAGGGGCCCAAGGACTTGGGCCATCTTCTATTGCTTTCCTAGGCCACAGCGGAGAGCTGGATCAGAAGTGGAGCAGCCAGGACTTGAACCAGCGCCCATATGGGATGCCAGCCCTGCAGGCCAGGGTGTTAACCCACTGCACCACAGCGCCGGCCCCACTTAAAACTTTAAGCTATCTGCCCAGGCTTCTGTTTCCTCCACTTCCATCTCTACCGCCGCTCCAACCTGATTGTGCCAGTTTGATTGACTTGAACTCTGGCCCTACATTTATTATTATTATTTTAAATATTTATTTATTTATTTGAAAGACAGAGTTACACAGAGAGGAGAAGCAGAGAGAGAGAGAGAGAGAGAGAGAGAGAGAGAGAGAGGTCTTCCATCTGCTGGTTCACTCCCCAGCTGGCCACAATGGCTGGAGCTGTGCCGATGCGAAGCCAAGAGCCAGGAGCTTCTTCTGGGTCTCCCACATGGGTGCAGGGGCCCAAGTACTTGGGCCATCTTCTACTGCTTTCCCAGGCCATAACAGAGAGCTGGATCGGAAGTGGAGCAGCCAGATCTTGAACCGGCACCCATATGGGATGCCAGGGCATTAACCCGCTGCAGCACAGCACCGGCCCCCCTACATTTATTGTTCATCTTTTGTCCACAGGCCTTGCATGGTCAGCACTCAGGCCACTGCATCCGTGAGAACGGGCCTGCAGGCTTTCGTGTGTCACGAATACGCTAACAACAGACGTGGCCTTGGCTCAGTGTGTGTGCGTGGGAAGACATTCGACTCCATGAGGTTGCTTCCTCTAGTTCACCTGTGTGCAGAAGGCAAAGATAATTAGAAAGTTTGTGAGCCAAAGATCTGTGTGTATACCTAAACTGTATACCTGTGTGTCCACCTAAACTGAAACTGAAAGGTGATTTAAGCGTCCACCTGTGTCGGCACACGCGGAGGCTGGACCCGAGTGAACTTTGAACAGTGAATTTCAAAGCGTTTGCAGATCAGACTTCTTTGTGGACATCTGGGACGCTGCTTTCTCCTCCCCTTGCCATTGATCAACACGGGCACTGTGTGAAACAGTGGATTCTTAGGAGGAGCTGAACCACACAGGGAAGCCCTTGATTGGCTCATCGTTCCTTTTTAATCAGAGTAGAGAAAGAGCTCCTCTCTCCTCGCCGCTGGCTCTCTTGCCTTCTCCTGTCCCCTGTTCTTCCTGGTCTTGCAGGACCCGGTCACCACTCTCATCCTTTCTGATCTGTGCCGACCTTCAAGTGTGTTCTCACAGCCCGTGGCCCTCATGCACAACGCTAGTAGAAAGCCCAGTGTACAGCCACCTCCCAGGTTCTAGGGAGAGGCGTTTCTGCATCTCTGTGCCTGGTCCTAGGAGGAAGGAAAATGAAGTCCCGTTTGCAGTCTCCTAGGCGGTAGTTCTGCCTTCCGAGTGAGACGCCTAGTTTGGGGGGCCCTCTAGTGGGAACTTGCTTGCTATTGCACTTTTCCCTTTTTAAAACAAAAGTTTGAAGCAGAAAGATGGGCGTGCTGGCTCATGCCCCAGTGCCGAGAAGTGCCCTTGTTGGCTTGGGCGTGGAGCCAGGAGCTGTGAACACAATTTTGTGTTCAGTGTCCCACGTGGGCAGCCGGAACCCCGTTACTGGATCTGCACCAGCAGGAAACTGGAATCAGGAATCGAGTGGGCAGTATCTGGAGCCACTAGGAAACAGTCTCTATTTGCTCTATGGTTTTCTTCTTGTGTGCGGGTCACTGTTTTCTGTCTCACGAGTTTATGGAAATTGAAAATAAAAGACAACTCTATTTTGGTGCAAAAATGGAAATGTATCCATATGAAGGATCTTTAAAAAGTTCAAGAAAATGCATATTGTGAAAAACTGTATGGATTTTTATTTTTTTTGCATCAAAATTAGCTTACCTTTTAATTCCATTTTTTCAGAACTTGAAGTAACCTTTGTATTTCTTACCAGCTATTATGAACACGTTTAAAGAAGTAAATGAAGTCATGTTGAAAGAATAAGAGGAAAGTGGGATGAAAATGACTGAACATATAGGTAATATCCATAAGGAGGCAGAAATTATAAAAAGCAACAGGGTACATCCTGGGACTGAATAGTACAATGGTGAAATAAATTCACTAGAGGGGCTCAAAACCATTTTTAAAATTTTCTATTTTAATTTTACAATTGATCTTAGTCAAAAGACTGAGAAGCGATTTTTAAAAATTTTCATTTTGATTATTTTTTACCAGGTTCAACATGATAGAGATACAAGTCAAAGAATGTAATGATACTCCCCTCCTCCCTCCCTCCTTCCACTTTTCTTTCTTCTTTTTAGCTTTTGAGATAACTAATTTTTAATATATATTACAGTAATAAGGATTAATACTTCACCAAATAAGAAGTTTAACAAGTAAAAAGCAAAAATGCCCGAGTTTAGTAGGAATAAAGACAACAGCGATAAACAGTAATGGGATGGAAAAATGACCATTTCACACATATATATACAGGTTTTTTTTTTTTTTTTGTCAATTAGTTGTTCATAATTCCTTTCAATGAAATAGAACCAATGACAGTGTAACCTCTAAATATTTGCTGTATGGTTACTAGGGAATAGTTACGTTCACTTAGACTTTAAGCCATTTCCTGTCAACAGTTGATATGCAGGAATAAATCTATGCACATTGCAATGCAAATAATTCTACATCTTTTTTGAACTCGATTAGTTACCACAGATGAAGGAGAACGTGGTATTTGTCTTTTTAGGACTGGCTTATTTCACTAAGTAAAATGGTTTCCAGTTGTATCCATTTTGTTGCAAAAGACAGGATTTCATTCGTTTTACAAATGAATAATATTCCATATTGTATATATACCACAGTCTCTTTATCTAGTCCTAGGTTGATGGGCATCTGGGTTGATTCCTTATCTAAGGATTGTGAATTGAGCTGCAATAAACATGGGGGTGCAGGTCACTCTTTCATATGCTGATTTCACTTCCCTTGAGTAAATTTGCAGGTGTGGGAAGGCTGGGTCAGACGGTAGATCTATTTTCAGCTTCAAAAGCAATTTTGAACTGCCAAAAAGAAAAATCAGCAACTTGAAGCTGGATCAATAGAGATCATCCAAGCCGAAAAGAAAACTTATGAATATTTATGTGAAAATCCTTGGAAAAATACCAGCAAATTGAATCTGGCAACATAGAAAAGGTTTTAAACACAATGATTTGGGATTTATCCCAGAAATGCAAGTTTGATGTAACACTCTTAAATCAGTGAATATAATGTTAGTAGAGAACAAAAACCATATGACTGTTTCAGTATCCCTAGAAAAGCATCTGACAGAATCTAACTGCCACTTGGGATAAAACTTTTTTTTTTTTTTTTTGACAGGCAGAGTTAGTGAGAGAGAGAGACATTGGTTCACCCCTCAAATGGCCACTACGGCCGGTGTGCTGCACTGATCCAAAGCCAGGAACCAGGCTTCCTCCTGGTCTCCCATGCTGGTGCAGGGCCCAAGCACTTGGGCCGGCCATCCTCCACTGCCTTCCCGGGCCACAGCAGAGAGCTGGACTGGAAGAGGAGCAACTGGGGCAGAATCCGGCGCCCCGACCAGGACTAGAACCCCGGGGTGCCGGCGCCGCAGGCGGAGGATTAGCCTAGTGAGCTGCAGAGCTGGCCTAAAACTTGTTTTACACTATGAATCTAAGAAAGCTTCTCACCCTGAAATGGGTCACCTACAGAAACCCTGCAGAATTACTAACGGGTGGTAGAAGAGTGACCATAAGTTATGGTTAGAGGCCATGCTTGTAAGGGACCAGACCTCACTGGGGAAGTGTGGTTCAGCCGCCTGGTTGACGGGTGAGCTTCACTGGTTTGGCCGGGCTGGAGCCGGTCTGTATCCTGGGAAGCAGGACTAGAGTGACCACCAGCAGTGAGTGGGGTGGGTGGACAGAGGATGGATAGAGTCCCCTCAGGCTATAGGCGGGGGAGCTACAGAGGGAACTAGGGTTCCAGCAAGGGCAGCAGGGTGTTGGGCGTTGGTTTCCTTGGTAGGTGGGCCCTAGAGATGGCCAGGCCACGGCTGCAAGGTCGCTGGGGCCGAGGCAGCTCTGCCAGGTGTTCTTACCCTACGCTACTGACAGGCATCCTGCCCACTGCCAGGCAGAAGCTGCTCGGGAACCCTTCCTCCTGCCGTGCCCATCTAGCGCCCTCTACTGGAAGTGCTGGACGTCTTCACAGGCGTCTGTTGCAGGTGCATTCCCAGCTGAGAGGCCGCATACCTGAACCTGGCCCTGATGGCCCTGGTAGCTGTGGTAGTGGGGGTGGCACAGGAGGTGGGGAGTCCTTTGGGTCTCTGTGTGATGAGAGCTTTCTCCAGCGACAAACCACGGTGAAGGGATCTTCGGGGTTGAGCTGTAGCTGGTCCGCAAACAGGGTTTCAAGAGTTCCCCGGGCAGGTGGCAATTTCATCTGTGTTTGTATTTTTTCCCCCTATTGTAGGGCAAAGCAAGACCCAGACCTGGAGACCTGATTGAGATTTTCCGAATTGGCTACGAGCACTGGGCCATCTACGTGGAGAATGACTGTGTGGTCCATCTGGCCCCACCGAGTAAGGGTGGATACTCTATTGAAATACTGGTATCGAAGTGGGCAGGGCAGTCAATGCCTGTGTTCCCCTTGCCGGCTGCTTTTGGTAGCAACAAAACACCTGAAGCATTCCTGGGTCCTTTTTTTTTTTTTTTTTTTTTTTTTTTTTTTTTAAATTAACTGTGTGACAGAGCTTGCCCCCTGTCAGCCCTACAAATGACATGAGTCACTAAGGAGTGTCCCAAGGTGCCCTGGCCTCCCATGACATCCTGTCTTTGAAAATACACATTGAAGACCGAGGGCCTCCAGTGTGTGTTGGTAACAGGTCAGCCTCCTCCTCCAGTTTCGGGGGGTGGCCTGGGAAGGGTGCAAGTGCCCACGTGGCACTTGCTTCCTGTTGTCCGCCAGTGCTGCTCCCAGCTTCCCGATCACCTCCGGCACCTTTCTCCTCGCCTGTCTCCTGCTGTTCCAGCCTGTTCCAGGCCACTTCCCTCTACGTGGCCTGCAGTGCTCAAGGCAGCGTGGACACAAGGCTGACATTGAACTTGTGGTTCACTGAGTTGTAGTGGAGCTTGACGGGGGGAGGTGGCAGTAACAGAGGAAGACCACAACAGGATGGGAAGGACCAGTGGTCACACTGGCTGCCTCAGGAGATGGGACCTGAAGAGGAGGCAGGGCTGGGGGTGGCTCCATGACACACTTGCGATGCTTTTGATTTGTGTATCCTCTGCATGCGATGCTGTGCCAGGGAAAACCCTTTGACCACAACTTGCTTGCATCTCTCCTTTCTGTGCCCTAGTCCCAGTTTCTCACCTTGCTGGGCTCTTTCCACAGAGCGGAGTCTCTTCTTCATGGCCTCTCTCCCCTCCTCCACCCCTCACACCCTTCCTTCCTTGCTGCCTGGGGGTGTGTTTGAAGAAGGTACACATTCATTTCCCCTGGTCCTTCCCAGGCCAGCTCCGGGGACTTCCCTCTTGTGTAACCCCAGGGATGGGGAACCCCTCAATCAGGTCTTTCTCGAACAACGGGGTTCTGCTGTCTCTGCTGCTGCCTGCTCCAACTTCTGTAGAATCAGTAGATTTTCTTCAAATGCTTAAGAAAGGACAAGGAAGGTTTCTTGCTCGCAGACAACTTACAAAGGGGGAGGGTACTCACATTTAAAAAAAAATTATTTGACAGGTAGAGTTATAGACTATTATACATATAGTAATATATATTATATATAGTTATATAATTATGTAACTATTTTGTTATTTTTCCTTTTTTATTCATATAAATGGAACACTTCATCTATTTCTTATATACAGTTTTAAGAGTGTAATAATACTTCCCACTGTACCTTCCTTCCTCCCTCATTCTTCCCACCCTCCTTTCCTTATTTTTTAAAATTTTTATAATGGCATACTTTCGGTTTCCTTATTATCACAAGCTTACCCTTCCACTAAATGAAGAATTCAACAAGTAGGAAGTAGAAAAATCACTGTTGTCTTTGATTGACACATAATAATTGTAGGTGTTTATGGGGTGCACTGTGATGTTTTGACGTGTGTATAAAATATGTCAAGCTCAAGTTAGGGAAATTACCACATTCCTTAAAGCATCTGTCATTTCTTTGTGATGGGAGCACCCAAAATGCTCTCTTGTCTAGCTGGTTTTCTATGCTACCCCCCAGCCCTTGGTGGGTTCCTTGCCCTCTCTGAGTGTCTGTCACCTCCCAGGACTGAATAGGGCAATGTAGCAGCTTTCAAAGATTTTTTTTTTTAAATTTATTTGACAGAGTTAGACAGTGAGAGAGAGAGAGACAGAGAGAAAGGTCTTCCTTCCATTGGTTCATCCCCCAAATGGCCACCACGGCCGGCGCTGCGCCGATCCGAAGCCAGGAGCCAGGTGCCCCCTCCCGGTCTCCCATGTGGGTGCAGGAGCCCAAACACTTGGGCCATCCTCCACTGCCCTCCCGGGCCACAGCAGAGAGCTGGACTGGAAGAGGAACAACCGGGACTAGAACCCGGTGCCCATATGGGATGCTGGCGCGCAGGCAGAGGATTAACCAAGTGAGCCACGGCGCCGGCCCAAAGGTTTCTTTCTTCGAAGTTGTTGAATCCCTGAATTTGAGTAGAGATAAGGGCCAGAGGTTCTGGGTGGAAGCAGGTGGAAGTGGGTGCCTCAGGGCCTCATGAGCTTGTCCTTGCCTGTGCCCCTACTGTGGCCACAGAGGGAGGCGTGTCTCAGGGTTCCCTTGACTCTGTCCATGACAGCTCTGCCCTGGGAGCTGGCCCTGGCTAGGGGATGCTCACTGAACATTTGGTTAGGAAACAAGGCGCAGGTTCCGGGACTCCATCAGGCCAACACAGCACAGAATGTTCTTAGGCCAGTAAACCCAGTCTAGGCCCACACTGAACTGTACTGGCAGGGTTAACAATAAGAGACTCCTCTTTTGAGGTTGAAAGCAGGGAGGCCGGGGCAGGGCAAAGGCTTCTCAGGAAAGCGGCTGCCGTGCAGTGTGTCTGATCCGACTCCCCTCCCTGTGCTTTGCCTGTAATGGTCGGTGAAATCGGGGCCCCCAAGGGAAGCAACGGACCCGAAGTCTGAGACCGCACCAGTGCCCCCACCTCTCCCCCACCCCGGCCTTCCAGCCCCCCAACTTGTGCTGCTCCTTGACCTCCAGGTGAGGAGTTTGAGGCTGGCAGCATCACTTCTGTGTTCAGCAACCGGGCCGTGGTGAAATACAGTCGTCTGGAGGACGTGCTGCACGGCTGCTCCTGGAAGGTCAACAACAAGCTGGACAGGACGTACCTGCCCCTGCCCGTGGACAAGATCATCCAGCGCACGAAGCAGATGGTCAACAAGACAGTGCAGTACAGCCTGATCGAGGGCAACTGCGAGCACTTCGTCAACGACCTCCGCTACGGCGTGGCCAGGAGCCAGCAGGTGCGGCCGCCCTCTCCTGGGGCTTCCTGGGGCTTTGTCTCTGCCTCGGTGACCAGAGCGGTGATGCTGGCTCCATCCCAGAGTCTGCTGCACCTGTGGGGCCTTCCTGTGGTTCAGGAGGGATTTCCACGCCTCCTGTCCCCGGCAGGAGGAGAAAAGGCCCTGTGCTAGCCGCCTGGTTGGAGCCCCAGCTTGGCCATGAACTCAGCTGGTCTCCTGGGTCAGGTCCCCCAATGGCTGAGCCTGTTTCTACCTTTTACACAGTGGGGTGGATGGAGCCAGAAAGGAGAGTGTCTCCGAACATTTTTGCAAGAGGGAGCGAAGAGCTCAGTCTACTTCGGTGCGACACGTTTTGAAATCCGTGCATAGCTTCTTCATGAGATGCATTTTCCCCGGATTTCTTCTTGTGTGTGTGAATTTCAACTTTTGTTTTTTTTCTGCACCAAAATAAACTGACCTTTCCATTTTATTTTCCACGAACTTTCTGAACTTCCCTTTATTGCTTATAGCACCCTGAGGGCCACATCTTGGATGATGACTATATTATTATTATTATTTTGTAAACAAATTTGAATCACGTGCCAATATGTGAAAATATAGAAATTTTATATGAGAGGGTCTGGTTTCCCAGCTTCTCTTGAGCATTCAGTTACCAGGCCACACCCAGGGTTGGTGTCCCGCTTGCCAGCCCTGTGCCCGGCTGAGCTGTGCCCCAATAGCTGGTTCTTGACTACGACTCCATGAGATGAACAGGGGAAGTAGTTATTGTCTTATTGTTTCCTTTAAAATAGATGAAAAAAGGGGCCAGCACTGTGGCATAGCAGGTAAAACCGCTGCCTGCAGTGCCGGCATCCCATATGGGTGCTGGTTCCAGTCCTGGCTGCTCCACTTCCGATCCAGCTCTCTGCTCTGGCCTGGGAGGGCAGTGGAGGATGGCCCAAGTCCTGGGGCCCCTGCACCCACATGGGAAGACCCGGAGGAAGCTCCTGGCTCCTGGCTTCAGATCGGCACAGCTCCGGCTGTTGTGGCCATTTGGGGAGTGAACCAGTGTATAGGAGACCTCTCTCTTTGTGCCTCTCCTTCTCTCTCTGTGTAACTCTGTCAAATAAATAAATAAATCATTAATTAAAAATCAAGAATTAATGGTGGAGCATAATTTTTCCATGTCATCCCCTGCCCTAGTGTTTGCTGAGTTCTCTGAAATGCCAGCGGGGGTCTCTCCGCCGTTGCTCTCCCACCCATCAGCCAGCGCTGGCAGCGCACCTCCCAGCTGTTGCTGTCCATATCTTCCTCCTCTGCACTCTCCATTGTCCCCTGGCCTGTATTCCATTCTGGCTCCGGTGCCAGGGGCTTGGCAGGCTCTGCTGTGAGGGCTCCCAGGGGCGTGAAGAGAAGACCCCCACGGACCGAGGGCAGGAGAGGAGGCCCTCAGAAAAGGCCTAGGCCCTGGAGTCCTGAGACCCAAGGCTGGTAGCCTGGACAGCGTCTCCCTGTGTGGCTGTGTCTCAAGACTTCCCTTCCTGGTTCTCGGCTCCCACATTTGTAGAATGCTGTGGCATGCTGGGATCCTTTGCTTCTGGGCAGAATGGCTCTGAGGGAGCAAGGGAGCCAGGAGGCTGGGCGCCTTGGGTGTCCATCGCCAGCAGTCCTGGCTTCTCCTGGTCTTTAGCAGCTCCAGGATTTTTGGAAATACAGAATATCATGGTCGATCCTTTTCCCTAGGAAAACACTCTCGGCAGGCTGTTCCCTGAAGGGGGATGAGGAGGTTGAGGTGGGGGAGGAGGGTGCACGCCTAGGGTTGGTTCTGACTGTTCTGCGATCGATATGTATTGCAGGTTGAACACGCACTGATGGAAGGAGCGAAGGCTGCAGGCGCGGTGATCTCAGCTGTGGTGGATAGCATGAGGCCCAAAGCAGTGATCGCTTGAGCATGCCGGGAACTCGGAGCAGAGGAAGGGCTCCTGACCCTCGCAGAGAGAACATGCCTCTTTCCCTCCCCTTGCCTTCCTCTCTCCATGACCTTGTTTAAGAGAATTGTGAGCTTCCGGAAGAATCTAGAATGTATCCGATTACCCCTCCAGAAATACATCCAATATATGTGACCAGAGACCGGTGGACTCTCAGGAGGGCAAGGACAGCTATCTACTGTGTACGTATTACGTGCCAGGCACGGTGCTCTGCCACCCATCAATAAGGCCTTGTACGCGCTTGTTTGATTTTACGTTCTTTGTAGGAAGGGGCCTTGCATGTTTCTTAGGTTGACGGTGGTCTGCGATGCTTCAACACCCCCTGAAATATCCCGGAGCCTCCACCCGAGCCTTTCCCATAATGAAGACCCCTTTCCAGAATTCTTTGTCTTGCATGAAAACGTCTCCCGCTTCCTTCCACTCCCCTTAGTCCTGCCCCTTCCAACCCACGGTGTAGTCCAGGGGAGGAGGACTTCCAGGAATGCTGTGACTCGCCGCCCAGGGCCACCTGTACCTTAATCTAGGTACACATTTTCCAAGAAATATTTTTTTTAAAACTATACATCAATTTTATTCTTTATTGCTTTTCTATCTTAGAATTGCCAGAAAATTTGATGTTTCCATTCTCACTGGCTTTAGAGATTTATTTACTTATTTGAAAGAGTAATACAGGGAGAGGGAGATCTTCCATCTACTGGTTCACTCCCCAAATGGTCGCAACAGCCGAGGCTGGGCCAGGCTGAAGCCAGGAGTCTGGAGCTCCGTCTAGATCTCCCACATGGGTAGCAAAGGCCCAAGAACCTGCTGCTTTCTCAGGTGCATTAGCAGGGAGCTGGATCGGAAGTAGAGCAGGTGGGACTTGAACCGACGTTCATAGGGGATGCCGGCACTGCAGGTGGCTGCTTTACCTGCCAAGCCACAGCACCAGCCCCTGGATGAGCCTTTTTCATCTTGTGGAATGCAAGGCTCATGCCCAGGACAGAAGTGGGGTGGGCAGTGGGGGAGGGAGGACATTCCAAGGGGGAAGTGATTTGACGTGAGTGTTTTTGAGATTAGTCGAACACGGGTGTTTTGTTCACGTGTTTTCTTTTTCATTTTTGGTGAGGTGGGCACGTGGGGCAGTGGTGGCGTTGGTTTGCTCAATGGCCCATGGAGACTCAGAGAACTTGAACTTGCTGTGCTTCTTCATGGTGAGTTAGTGTTACATGAGCTAGCAGGTGCATGAATCCAGATGTTTTGTTCCGCGATACAAAGCTGACTTTGGAAAGCACCCCGGCAGAGATTATTATGGCTGCAAAGTGATCTGGGGGTTGGGGGTGGGGGTGGGGAAAGTGTTAGTCAGGGTTGCCATCTGTAAGAGGGAGAAAGGACCCTGCTACTTGGGGAGTGGGCCAGAGGCTGCAGAGAAAGGGCCAGAGGGGAGCCCCCATGAAGCCAGGAGGCGAGAGAAGCTGCTCTCTGGCTCCCAGTTTTAAATTTTGGTCTCAAAGTCACCTTTTGTTCTCTTTAAGCTTTGCTTGGAGAGTAAGCTGTGCTTGGAGAGTAAGGGGAGGAGCCGTTGTCCGGGGTTTGTTAGAACCTAGAAGGTTGCTGTTCTGGAGAGAAGGGTTTCAGGGGCTGCCTGATGTCGGCGGAGCGCAGGGGTTCTGGAATGGCTTAGGACAGAAGCAGCCTGCACTGGGATACTCCGAGAGAGGACAGGGTTTCCTGCAGTTACGCGGGAGGAGAGCTTGGCTAACAAAGTCAGATTTTCACAGGGAAGGGTGGTTCCTGAACCTGTAGGGCATGGACGCTCACATCACACACAGACAAGCACAGCACAGGGGGCGTTGCAGTTGGATACACAGCCTTCCGGTGCTCATAGACCTTTTCGGTGCCCACACTGTTCCTGTGAAAACTTTCGTCACTTTAACAGGACAATGAGCAGCCACACAGACTCTAAAAGGGCTTTGTGAGATGCTCAAAGTTCTGATCTCTCAAAACTTCTGTCCCCAGTGCTTTCAAAGCCAACTTTCAACCAGGCAGAATCTGTCGAGAGAAGCCAGGTATTGAAGATCTCCAGGTTGCTGCCGGGGAATGAGCAAGTGACTTTTGTTTTGCTCTTTTGTTTGATCATGGTGGAATTTGCTCTAAAAATATTTTCGATGAATCAGATGATCCAGTTCGCTAGGTTAAACACAAAAAGTTTTTTACATTGGCTTTAAAAAAAAACTCTTGAAGTTAAGGCGTTTCTGAGTTTATAGCAATGTGGGAAGTGATTTGTAGTTGATTAATTTTTGGTACAGCCATACAGTTTCACTTTAAAAGACTTGAGAAAAGTCCATGGAGGCCATGAACTCCCAATTGTGTGTGTGTGTGTGTCTGTGTGTTTTCTTTTTCTAAATAAAAGGTGGCTATCTCGCCTTTGCCTGAACCTGTGAGCAGTGAGTGGTATGGGCTGGCTGTGCTGAATTCTGAGTTGAAAAAAGGATACAGACACTGAATGTGGGCATTAGACAAGTGCTGAAAAGGTGTATCCTATTTAAAATTTTTTTCAAAATTTATATTGTATTTATGAGAGAGAGAGAGAGTGAGCAGGAGACAGAGCAGAGCAAATGTGTGAACCAGCTGGGGCTGGGCCAGGCTGAAGCCAGGAGCTGAGAACTGGATCTAGATCTATGTGGTGGCAGAGAACCAAGAGCTTGAGCCATCACCTGCTGCCTCTTGGAGTGCCCTTTCTCAGGGATACGGAATGGGAAGTGAAGTTGGACTTGAACCTGGGCACTCTGATATGGGATGTGGACATTGCGTGTGGTATTTTAACCACTGCACCAAATACCTATGCCGACGCGTAACCTCTTTATCGAGGGTGAGGTGGGGTCAGCACTCAGTCCACAGAGGAAGAGGGGAGCTGTGGAACCTCAGGACCTCTTCAGGGCTAATCAGCACAGAGACCGCCACCTTGTGACCATGGCAGAGCTTGCACTGACGCAAAGCCTTATCAGGAGGGCAGCTCTGGTGTCCAGTGGACACCAGTCTGTCTCAGATGTGGCAGGAGCAAGTGTCATCTCCAGAGGAGGCGGCTAAGAGTTTGTATCTGTGTCACTCGAATGCTGATGCTGAGGGCTGTGTTCCTCCGTGTCTTTTACCCCATGGATGGGCATCCAGGGCAGCCCAGAAGCTCCTTCCCCCAAACTCTGGGACTTCACAGGGCAATGGGCAAACAATGCTCTAGTAACTGCCTATAGGTCACTGGCAAAGGAGTCCCTGGGGCTCACACTCAGGAATACAACTATGCCAAGCAGGGCTCAGGAAGGGTGTGTGTGTGTGTGTGTGTGTGTGTGTGATCATTGTGAACATACGCCCAGACTCCAAGTACAAGGAGTCTGGCAGATGCACAATATTAAGAAAAGTGTAGAAAGGAAAGGTGTGTATGGCATTGTTGACCTGTCAATCTCTAAATATGGAAGAAGAACCCATTGGAGACTCCATCAGTCTCATCTCTCTAGGTATACCCAAGCTACAAGAAGACCTGTGTTAGGACTCTCAGTTGCAAGGGACAGAAAGCAGAACTAAGCAGCGTAAGCAGTGAGGAACTTACTGGATTAAGTGGCAGCCAAATCCTGGAGCAGAAAACGGTAGAGGGGATTTAGAACACATGGCATTGGCTTTGAACAACCTGAGGGCTCAGTCCTCCAGAGCCACGTGATCACTGTGGAGAAGCAAGGGGAGGAGTCGAGTGGGTGAGAATGCCCCTGAGCTCGGCAGATCCAGAACACGTTCTGACGGCACAGAAATGGGTCCTCTGTCCACACTCACGACTGGGATTCTCTGGAGAAGCTTCCTGGTTGGCGAAACACATGCGCAGCCCTTGTAAGACATTGACCCCTTTGGGTTCTTCCATAGGAAACAATGTGTTTTGGGGTGTACAGTTTCTGTGGTTTCAGTTCTATCCAGTGTTGGAGAGAGGCTACTGTTGCAGTTCAGGCTCGCTGGGAAACAGATTCTGGGCCTGAGGTTTGTGGGTAGGAGGTTTATGGGAGCAGTGGAGGAAGCATAATGGAATATTACAAGGCACAACTATTTACTCTGTAGTTTTTATTCTACTTTACAGTTCGAACTTTGGTCATTTGGGAACAAACAGCTTGACATAATAGTATTTTGTGTGTAATTGTCTAGTGAGTGAATTTAAAGGTACAAGAATATCTGCAAAAAATCCAGTAGAGGCAACTGTTACTACAGGATACAGCATTTGGCTTCCTTAATTTATTCTTTTATCTGACCAGAGCTAATAGTTTAAAAACAGTACATTTCCAAGTTAATGTTATTGAAATTCAGGAAGCTATTTCCTGTATACATCAAGATTTTTTTTCACTTTCCAACAAAAATGCTCCAGCTTATAGTTTGCATTCTGTTGTACTGGGTTTCATTTTACATATGGATAAAACCCCATGAGGTCACACAAAATAACATAAGTACAGTAATTCAAGTTTTAAACAAATCTTTCCTATCACTGTGCTTGCTTTGTTTCTTGAACCCACCAAAGACAAGAACACGTGGTACCACCGGGATTGAAAGCATAATAGTGCTTGAGGTAGGCTGATATGATTCTGAATCCTGTGAACTTATTCATGAACAAATGAGTGTGTTGAGTGCAGAGGTAACTGGGGCCAACTGGGTCACTGGGAGTTCTTGAAATCAGCATCCAAGTGGAGTGTGACATTTATTAAGTGCTAATGAAAGTGTGCTAGTTTGAAGCCCACACATGTAATGTTTGCAGTTAGTTGTGGTCACAATTGCTTAGAATTTAGACAAAATATTTTTTTCCGGTAGGAGGATTTTGCCCCTTCAAGTATTAAAGTTACTGATGGATGGTGATAATAAAATGGAGCTCAACTTTCAATTTTACATTCTCCGCATAAACACCCCACACACCCTTGGTTTCCCACGGAGTGGAAGCGCTCCTTCCCTCCATTTTGGAGGTGGGGGCACACACCCAGATTCTTCACCAGTTTCCATTGTCTCTCTCCTGCCTCAGCCCAGAAGATGGACTATGTGAAATGTCTTAATAAATCTTTCTGATCCTTGGGCAAATATTTTGTAACTCAGAGTCAAATATTTGCTTGTCTCACTTCAATTCTTTCCCTCCTATGATGTCTGATGCCAGTCTCGGGTTAATTATTCACTTTTAGCTTCCTGACCTGCGAAGAAAGGCTTTGGTAGGATCATCATTAAAACTAAATGGAGACGTTTTTGACAGTTAAAGTATAATTATGCCTAGATAACAGGTGTAAGCTGGGCCCATCCTGGCCCAACCAGGATGTCCGGATAATCGCCCAAGTGCATAACTGAATAAATTAAAGAGGGATGTGTGTGTGCATGTGTCTGTGTGGTGTGTTTGAGGGTGGAGAAAACAACATATAAATTAATGCTTAAAATATTATCTTTTTTTTTGACAGGCAGAGTGGACAGTGAGAGAGAGAGACAGAGAGAAAGGTCTTCCTTTGCCGTTGGTTCACCCTCCAATGGCTGCCGCGGCCGGCGCGCTGTGGTCAGCGCACCGCGCTGATCTGATGGCAGGAGCCAGGAGCCTCCTCTGGGTCTCCCACATGGGTGCAGGAGTCCATGGATTTGGGCCATCTTCTAGTGCTTTCCCAGTCCATAGCAGAGAGCTGGATCAGAAGTGGAGCTGCTGGGTCTTGAACTGGTGCCCATATAGGATGGTGGCATCACAAGGGTTGGCTTTACCTGCTACGCCACAGTGCTGGCCCCAAAATATTATCTTGTCCTGCACAAAATTAGAACATACAACACTGCTAATTACTTCATGTCTTTTAGATACATTCTTGGTATAGTTCTAGCATGCTATATATCATTTTGAATTATGCTTTTTCTCTTTGTATTAAATTCAGAATCTGCTGGCCTAAGCCAAAATATCACCTAATTTCTAGTTTTCATGAATGGTGGATAATTTTCTTCGTTTCCTCAGCGACACTTTCCTGAGACCCTGTGTTTCCCCAGAAGTTTTTTTTTTTTTTTTTTTAAGATTTATTTGAAAGGCAGAGTTACAGAGAGAGGGAGAGACAGAGAAGATCCTCCATCCACCGGTTCACTCCCCAAATGGCCACAGCGACTCAAGTTGGGCAGATCCAAAACCAGTAGCCAGGAGCTTCTTCTAGGTTTCCCACACAGGTGCAGGGGCCCAAGCACTTGGGCCATCTTCTACTGTTTTCCTAGGCCATAGCAGAGAGCTGGATCGGAAGTGAAGCAGCTGGGACTTGAACTGGCGCCCATATGGGATGCCAGCATCGCAAGGGGTGGCTTTACCTGCTACGCCACAGCGCCAGCCCTCCATCAGTACTTTTAATTTTACGCTTTTTACTCACTTCTGTAGAATTCTCTGCTGGCTTTCTGAATGCTGCTCAGGAAACTCATCAGCCATCCTGAATAAGTTTGCTCCTCAATCCGGACAAGTTCCAAAGAGTTGCCCTGTGAAAAGCAGCGGGATTCCCAATTCCAGCACCTGTCATTCAGAACTAGTGTTTTTGAGCCCTTTGATTTGCTATACTTTTCCCATTTTTAAAAACTTTTGTTTATTTATTTAAAGAGACTACTTGATTTATTTGAAAGGCAGAGTGATAGACACACAAAGGGAGAGAGAGACAGATGGTGAGATCTTCCATCCACTGGTTCATTCCTTAAATGGCTGCAACAGCTGGGACTGGGCCAGACTGAAGCCGGGAACTAATCCAATCTGAGTCTCCCACATGGGTGGCAAGGGCCCAAGAAATTGGGCTATCATCCACTGCATCCCAGGTGTATTAGCAGGGATCTGTATCAGAAGCAGAGCACCTGGGATTTGAACCAGTGTTCTGATAAGGGATTCTGGCATCACAAGTGTTGACTTAACCCACTGTGCCACAGTACTAGCCCTTTTTACTTGTATTTTAAATTGACATGTAATGTAATAATTGCTTATATTTATGATGTACAATATGATGCTTTGATCCATGCATACATTATGGAATGATCAAATCGTAAGCATAACTTTGGCTTCCAACATGTATCATTTCTTTGTGATGAAGCATTCAAAATCCTCTCTTCCAGACATTTTGGAATGTATGATATGTTACTATTGACAACAGTCACCCTGCTTGGGATGGAACATCAGAACTCGTTCCTACTGTTCAACTGTAATGGTGTACCCAAGGATCCCAGTCCTTCCCTGCACCATAACATATTTAAATCACATTGCTTCACCTGTCTGTGGCTTCCTTTTGGGCTTCAGATCCTGCAGTTCTACAGAGCATTACCTTTGCCTTGGAGATACTTCTGAGGATTCTTATGGCTGGGGCCAGTGTGGTGGTGCAGTGGGTTAAGCTGCCACCTGAGACGTTGGCATTCATATAGGTGCTAGCTTGAGTTCCAATTGCTCCACTTTTGGCCCAGCTCCCTGCAAATACTCCTGGGAGAGCAGTGGAAGATGGCCAAGTGCTTGGTCTCCTGCTACACATGTGGGACATCACGATGGAGTTCCAGGTTCCTGGCGTTGACCTGGCCTAGTCCTGGCTCTTGCAGCCACTTGGGGAGTGAAACAAAGTCTCTTTGATTCTTCCCCCCATCTCTGTAACTCTGACTGCCTTTCAAATAAATAAATAAATCTTTAAAAAATTCTTATGTCTATGAATGGCCTAATGTTTTAGGTCAGTTCATCCCCAAGTCATACTCCATCAGTTTTGTTTGATATTGTAGTATACAGAGAGAAGGTAATGGTTATTTAAATATATAAGAGTAGACTATGAAAAATGTACAATCTAAGTACACAAACTTCATTGTCTAGTCTAAAGTGGTGCCACCAAAGTGGAATTGTTGGTCTGGTGTTTGTCTAACAATTGTCGGGTAGCTGAAAGCACTCATCCATTCATGTATGAACATGTGAAAGGTGATATGGGTGGGGGGTTGGGTGGTGGGTGACACTGTCCTGCAGAAGTGCAGTGGGTTAAAGCCGTGTTCTGCAGTACCTGCATCCTATCTGGGTGCTGGTTCGAATCCTGGCTGTTTCACTTCCAATCCAGATCCCTGCTGATGTGCCTGGAAAGGTAGCGGAGGATGACCCAAGCCCTTGGGCCCCTGCACCCATGTGGGTGACCCGGAAGAAACTCCTTGCTCCTGGCTTTGGCCTGACCCAGCCTAGTTGTTGTGGCCATTTGGGGGAGTGAATCAGTGGATGGAAGAGCTGTCTCTGTCTCTCTTTCTCTCTCTCTCTGTAACTCTGCCTTTCAAATAAATAAATAAATCTTTAGAAAAAGGTGAGTTGGGGCATCAGTGTACTAATACGTGAAGGTGCAGATAAATGAAACTCAAGTCTGCTCCCTTCCCTCATCTAAGTAGCATTATAATGTCTACCCTAGAATATATTAATCTTCCAACAGGTAGGAAGTGAGCAAAGGGTAAGTTACATAAAAAAAAGTTCCATCTGTCCCTAGTGGAGCCTAAATAAACTTGAGCTAAACTGACCTGCCCTAAATGAAAAATATCTGTCATTGGATTAATCATTCACGGTGAGCGAGGCAACATTGAGAAACACATATATGGTCATTAGAGAATCATTCTGAAAACAAACCAGAAACAGCTTTTTTCCTGAGAATCCAAACCTCAGCAGAAGAGATGCATAAAAGGAGAAATGGTGGCTGAGTCATTTCAATGGCTTCAGAGAGAAGGTTCTAGATTCCTGCTGTCCAGGACCTGGGGAAGCTCTTACCCCTGGCTTCCTGAGACCTAATCCATCAGGTACGCGTCTGATGTCCTAAGGTCCTACAATCTCTTCTCACAAAACACTTCTTTTTGTGCCCAAGCCAGCTGGTTCTGCTGTTTGCAGCTAGCAGATTCCAAACAAATTTGGATCCTGTTTGATTTTCAGGAATTATTTATTTTTCCTATGATGTTTCAGCCATCAGTGAGATTCCCCTTCCTCATTCCTGATGTAGCAAACCAGTCTCTGGTTGTCCTGTGTTCTCAAGAGGGAAAGCAGGTGATGTTGCTGTCCAAGGTACAGCTAATGAAGCACTGAAAGACTCAAGGGTAGGTCAGTGCCTTCCGGCTGCTCTTCGCATTTTAAAATAAGAGAGCAACAGGAGCAAACTTGATGCGAGGAGCCGGTGGCTTAAAACCAAACGCAGGGCCATTGTATGATCTCACCGAACAGTCTCAGTTACATGATAAATGAAGGGAAGACATCTTAGTGCTGTGCACCAGGTTGGCTTCTTCAGAGCCGGGTTTTTAAATGACCACAAACCCACCCAAACCTCGGGGTTTCTCCCAGAAGGCTCAGGGGCCAGGAAGATGGGGCAGGAGCAAGACAGCCATTTCCCAGCAAGGGAGCCCTATCACTGTGATTTTGATCTTTAAAGATTCCCCTACAGATACAAGCTTAAGGACACTTTTTTCTCCCCTTGATAGAAGCACAGGAAAGAGATGAGGTTCCCTGAGATTTTTGGTTGTCTTTTGTCTAATCAGTGGCACACCAATAAGATTCACAGTAGCTTCAGAAGCTTTTTAATAGAATTATACCAGCAGAAGCACCACTAGCTTGGACACAAGGTGGTAGAGACAGTAACAAAAGAGAATATTTCATTGGCTCTCCAAATATTATGGGTAAGGATCAGACTGAGGAAACTATACCTCTCCATCCCTAAAAATGAAAGAATGACTTAGGAGGCAGAACAAAGAGCCCAGAGGGGATAGTCATCTGGGGAGGATATAGTTTAGTCGCAATCATGGAACCTTCCCTAGCTGGATTTCAGGACTGTTATCAATCAGTGACTTCTCTTTGGTTTGCATCAACTCTTTGCATAGGAATATCAGTGCTGGTTACACTATGTCCATTCCCTCACTGGTGTGCACTCTGGGAGGCAGCAGTGATGGCCCAAGGAGTCAGATCTCTGCCACCCATGGCAGAGACCCCGATGGAGTTCTGGGATCCTGGCTGGAGAGTTTAGGAAGAATTACTGATCTGATTTTCTTGTCTGTTATTGAAACCAATAGAAAGCTCAGGCTCTCTATTTCTTCTTGATTTTTAGCCTGTATGCTCCTAGAGTTTATCATTTCTTTTATGTTATCCAATTTGTTGGCTATATATCTAATATCCAATAATTGCTCCTACTAGTTCCTTATGATCCTTCCCATTTCCAAGACATGTCTCACATCTCTGAGACATCCACTTCTGGTTTTATTTTTGTTTTGTCTCACTTTCTTATTTAGTATAGCTAAATGTCCTTCCCAAGAGCACCTGAACATTGAGGATTCTGTCCATGAGGGCTCACGAGGAAATCAGAAAATGAAATAGAAAGTTGGAGGGTAGGGGATCCTTGTCACCCAGTCACAGAACACTTAGCAACAGTGATTTCTGTGGTGACGTGAAAAGCAGCGAATGTACATAATGAACTTGGTGATTCACCGAGGGAGATTCCCAAGCACTGTGTTGAGGGTGTCACTTGCTTTCTTCTCGCCTCTCGTGGTAAAATGAAAAAGACTGATAAAGCGCAAGTTCAGTGTCTTGGACAGTTCGAAGCCTCTCCAAATGATAAAAGATGGAAAAATTAAAAAATGGCTGCCGATTAATGATGGAGGGCATTGCCTCGGTCATGTGCTGTAAAGATAAAGCGGAAAGTGGGATTGTCAAGTAGCAGTTCCCATTACAGGAAGCTCAACGGTGGCACCTCAAAATATTATTCAGTGGCCCAAAGGAAATTTTAAAAAGATTAGTATTGTATCCCACAGATGCTCCTACACAATAAAACCTCTAAGAAGATCAGGGCATTGCATCCGGCTGTCTTAGTCACACCATAATTATCTTGAAGCGTTTCATGAGTGTGGGTTTTTTTTTTTTTTTTCCCAAATGGAATGCAACACAAGGTAACTCACGGCAGGCCCACAAAATTTGGTAGAATTCAAAATCTCAAAACCGCTTCAAACTCAGACTGAAAGTGATGCAGACGGTACAGTGATAAAGGCTGATGCCCTAATTCCTAGGGGCAGGAATTCGGAAGAGGAAATTCCCTCAGCTGCCAAACACTGGCTAAATTTCATGACTAAGGGAGATTGGCCAAGGCTAGAAACAAGATCCCAGAGGGCAGAGCAAAAAGCCTCGAAGAAGTTGGACTTAATGAGCTTCCGACGTTTGCAGCTTGGTTTTCAGAACTGATGGCGTCCCCTGAGTCTGTGGTGCTTCTCACATTTTTCCCTTCGGGGTCAGGAATTTCTGTATCGGTTGTTGTATTCTGTGTCACCAATGTGTGTTGGGTATTTGAAATGCAAATGTGTCCCTCTGTAGGTTCACAGGTTTATAGACTGGAGGAGCTGTACTCCAGGAGTATGTTAGGGATTAGCAGAGCAGCCTCGTCCACATCCTGATTTAGATGGTGAGATTCGGGCTCTCAGGACGCCATGATGGGAAGATGGGACTGGAGAGCTTGGGAGGAGGAGAGTGCATTTTGCATGTGGGAGGTTACAAATCCTTGAGGATCTGAGTGCCAACAGGATATATGATTTCTTTTTAATGGACAGACGACGGGCCAATGTAATGGATTTGTCTTTCCTGATAAGATTGGACTTCAATTTTGGTAGGAGAATCTCTTTCCGGCAGACTTTGATGAACTAAAGCACTAAAGCAATGACTGAGAGTGGCCTCAGCCAGCAGGGATGTCAAGGCCTTCAATAAAACAGCCTTCCCCTAGTCAGGATTCCAGAGGAGATGCCAGCCCAGACCAGCACTTTGCTTGCAGCCTCAGGAGAGACCTAGAAGTACAGAACTCAGCCATGCTAGATTCCTGGCCCGCAGAAGGTGTGACGTAATTAATGTATGCTGTTCCAGTCTGCTAAGAGGATAGTAATTTGTTACGGCATAAGAACAGCCAACAGGCTGCCCTGGCCAACTTCTTGAGTACTGAGCCAGAGGACCAACCAAGCCATGCAAAGATTTCTGACATTCACAAACTCTGTGATAATAAATGTGCTGTTGTAAGCTAGTTAGTTGCGGGAACTTTATTCTGGAGCCGATCACTAATACAGTCATGAATCAACCATTCCAAATTGCTTTACCCTGATACTCAAGGGGTCCTTTCACATGTAGGCTCATGACTCAGGGATGCTGCTAGAAAGTTTATCTGAGTTTAATTTTAAACTTATTTCTAATAATTACAGTTTATTTAAAAGAGGAGGAGAAGAGATCAATCTCCCATCCTCTGGTTCCCATCCCAAATGCCCCTACAGCCACGGTGAGCCAAGCCAAAGCCAGGATTTGGGAACTCAAAAAGCTCTCTGTTGTGGGTGACTGGGACCCAAATCCTTATGCCATCATCTGCTGCTTCCTGTAGTGCATATTAGCAGGAGAATGAAATTATTAGCAGAGCCAGACTTGAACCCAGGCATTCCAAAATGGGATCTAGGCCTCCCAAGTGGTGCCTTTTTTTAAAAATTTATTTTTATTTTATTATTTGAGAGGCTGAGCTACAGACAGAGAGAGGGAGAGACAGAGAGAGAGAGTTCTTCCATCTGCTGGTTCACTCCTCAAATAGCCACAACAGCTAGGGCTGGGCTAGACCAAAGCCAGGAACCAGGAGCTTCTTTTGTGTCTCCTATGTGGGGGCAGGGGCCCAAGCACTTGGGGCCATCTTCCACTGCTTTTCCAGGTGCATTAGCAGGGAGCTGGCTCGGAAGTGGAGCAGCTGGGACTAGAACTGGCACCCATATGGGTTAAACCTACTATACCACAGTGTCAGCCCCCCAAGTGGTGTCTTAACTGCTGTGCCAAATGCCTGCCTCTGGTAAGTTTATAAAAATTATTCCTGACCCAGTATATATAAATTGGATCCCATTTGATGCTCTTCCATTTCAGCCACTTTCCCTTGGCTTGCTTGAACTTCTTTCTTTGTCCGGTTTTCATTCCCTTCGATGTTTCACTGCTCTTTACAGATGTCCCGTATTATGTTTCATTTGAGTATATTCTTCCATGGAAACGTGCAGTTCAGATTTTTATTATAAAATTGTTTGTTTCTTAAAAAATTTCTTTCCTTAGATTGACGATTGGCTACTCTCATTTTAGTTTTCATGCTTTTATTTCTCATCTCCTCTGTTTTTAGTTGTCAAATGTTTGGTTGGAGGTGTTTTTCCTCCAAATCATATTTTCTGCATGAGAGTTAGCATGTGTTTTTATCTGAAAAACCTCTCATCTTGCTTCCTGATTCTAGATTTCTAGGCATTTCCTCATTCTAGACTCTTAGCTATCTTCTCAGTAGAAAGTAATGATGTTTCTGCGTGGATAACAATTTTTAAAAAAATTTTATTTTATTTATTTGAAAGGCAGAGCATGAGAACGCAAGAGTGTGAGAGTGCGAGAGAGAGAGAGAGAGAGAAAGAAAGAGAGAGAGACTCTTCCATCTACTGGTTCACTCCCCAAATGGCCACAATGGCCAGGGTTGGGCCAGATCAAAGCCAGAAACCAGTAGCTACTTCTGGGTCTCCCACATGGATGCAGGGACCCAAGCACTTGAGCCATCTTCCACTGCTTTCCCAGGTGCATTAGCAGGGAGCCGGATCAGAAGTGGAGCAGCCAGGACTCGAACAGGTGCTCCCATATGGGATGCTAGTGTTGTAAGCAGCAACTTAATTCACTGCACCACAATGTGGCCACTTCATATTTCTTAGAAACATCTTTGGCCACAACACCATGTTTTTTAGTCACATTTTCTTTTTTTTTGACAGGCAGAGAGAGACAGAGAGAAAGGTCTTCCTTCCATTGGTTCACTCCCCAAATGGCCGCTGTGGCTGGCGCTGTGCTGCGCCGATCCGAAGCCAGAAGCCAGGTGCTTCTTCCTGGTCTCCTATGCGGGTGCAGGTGCCCAAGCACCTGGGCCATCCTCCACTGCACTCCTGGGCCACAGCAGATAGCTGGACTGGAAGAGGAGCAACTGGGACTAGAACCCAGTGCCCATATGGGATGCCAGCACCACAGGTGGAGGATTAATCAAGTGAGCCATGGCGCCAGCCCCTTTGGTCACATTTTCTAATTTCTACATAACCACAAGAAACAGTGCTGTCAAAATTATGCCTTGCACAACTTCCTGTTTGCAAATACAATATCTCAGTCTCCTTGAGGTCATCCCTGGCAATCTCCACAAAATCAAAACGCCACTGAGAGTGTGTCCAAGGCATTTCAGTATTTCATTATGTTCTCATGCCCCATACATGGTTGCCAAATCACTCACACATTTTAGGCTTTCGTTACGAAAGCACTCAAAGTCCAGGTTTTAAAATCTGTGTTAGCTATCCATTACTAATTGACTACATTGCTACTCTGACACAGCAGCTAGAAACAATAAATATTCATTACACTGCTTCCATCATTCGGGAAACAGTCCATGACTTAACCGGTTGCTTATGGCTCAAGGTCCTCCTCAGGTTTCAGTCAGGTGGCCACCAGATCTGCAGAGTCATCTGAATGCTGATCTGTGAGATCGTGGTCATTTCAGTCATCACACACGTGATATTTTGACTGGCTTTGGTCTTTGGCCAGAGACATCTCTCAGAGGACTGCTTGATGACGCAGCAGCTGGCTTCTCCCACAGTGAATGGTATAAGAGGTAGAGGTAGAAACTGGGGAGGGAGGAGAGAGAGAGTCATAAGATAAATGCTAGTTTTTTATGTTATCCCAGACGTGTCATAGCATATTTGGTGCTTTGTTGTATACCTTAGAAGCCAATTCACAAGTCCAGGCCACCCTCGTGAGATGGGGATTCTGCAGAGATAAGAATACTCTGAAGAGGTTGTCAGAGAACAACATGAGAAGCTGTCTCCAGATGAATGGACATTTTGAGCAGTTGAATATTAAACTCTAGATTTGAAAACTTTAGTCTGGAAATTGCTATATATAATGCTTTATTTTTTACAAAAGATTTATTTGGAAGGTAGAGTCACAGAGAGGGAGGGAGGAAGGGAGGGATGGGAGAGAGAGAGAGAGAGAGAGAGAGAATCTTCCATCGGCTGGTTCACTCCCCAGATGTCTGCAGTGGTTGGGAAGGGCTGGGCCAGGACAAAGGAAGCAGGAATTCCATTGTCCGGGTCTCCCATGTGGGTGTTGGGAACCTAAGTTCTTGAGTCATCCTCAGCTGCTTTTCCAGGTGCATTAACAGGGAGCTGGATCAGAAGTGGAACTGCTGGGACTCGAACCAGTCTTGTGGGATGCTGGCATCCTAGGTGGTGGCTTAACTTGCTGTGCCACAATGCCAGCCTCTATAATTTCTTATGAAAGACATTATATTTAAAGTTTGTGGAATTGGATAAGATCTCCTAGGAGGTAAGAGTAGATAGAAAAAAGAGGAGGTTTGAGTATTGAGCCTTGGAGACTTCACAGCATTTGAGAAAGTGTCAAAAAAGCATCAGGAAGATGAACCTGTGTGGAAGAAGGAGAGAGAATAGCCTGGGACCAAGAGTGGGGGAATTGCAGGTAGTGCTTCTAGGAGAAGAAACAGGTCAAATAAAAAACCCGACCTGATGATGTGTAAGCCATTGGTGACCTTGAAAAGAGCAATTTTGGTGAATTTGAATGCCTCATGGTGTGGGACAGATTCTTAGAAACTGGAGAGGGACAGCCCTTGGTAGTGGATTGGAAATTTAAGGCAGTTACTGTTAGAGGCTGTAGGATCATACGAGTTTTTGGAGGCTGGCGCCGCAGCTCAATAGGCTAATCCTCCGCCTGCAGCACTGGCACACCAGGTTCTAGTCCCGGTCGGGGCTCCGGATTCTGTCCTGGTCGCTCCTCTTCTGTCCAGCTCTCTGCTGTGGCCAGGGAGTGCAGTGGAGGATGGCCCAAGTGCTTGGACCTTGTACCTGCATGGGAGACCAAGAGAAGCACCTGGCTCCTGGCTTCAGATCAGCGTGGTGTGCTGGCCGCAGCGGCCATTGGAGGGTGAACCAATGGTAAAGGAAGACCTTTCTCTCTGTCTCTCTCTCTCACTGTCCACTCTGCCTGTCAAAAAAAAAAAAAAAAAAAAACCAACAACAAAACAAAAAACAAAACCCATATTCAGAAAAGATTAATTTCTTCAAATTTTAAACTGCTGTGCTTAAAATAGTTAATTAAAATAGTGAAATGGCAACCTAGAGAATGGGAGAAAATATTTTGAGATCATATCTTCCTTAAGGGTCTTATGCCCAGGACCTATAAAGCGTCCTCATAACTCAACAATTAAAAGACAAGTATCAGCATGTAAACAATGGTGAAAGGATTTGAATGGACTTTGCTTCAAAGATGACATACAAATGGGCATGGTGCACATGAACCAAATGCTCCATATCATTAGTTGTTAGAGAAATGCAAATCCAAACACAACTGGTAACACCTCCCCCATCCTAGCGTGACTACAATCCAGACACAGATAACGCGTGTTTGGAGGACAGAAGCCCAATTCTGCCACATATGATCCGGGTGGGATTGCAATGCAACAGCTACCAGGACAAACTGTTCGACAATTCCCTAAAAAGTTCCACACACAGTTATCGTACGGTCTGGCCACTCTACTTGTAGGTTTATGTCCAAGAGAACTGACAGGTTGACTTCACAGGAAAACCACATACAAACATTCATAGCAGCCAAAAGACAGACTTAATTTAACTGTCCATCAACAGATGAATGGATAAACAAAATGTGGTTTATGCAAACACTGGAATGGCATTTGGAAATAAAAAGGGAATGATATAATATGGATGAAATTCAAAAGCATTATGCTAAGAGAGTCTGTCTCAAAAAAACCACGTTGTATGATTCTGTAAGAGAGAACTGAGAGGTGAGGTATGTCATTCGCCAGAAGGGTGGCGGGAAGAGGGGCAGCACCCAAGAAGGTGGGATGAGCCGAGGTGTTTGTTTCAACGTGGGAGACGTTTTTTGTGCATTCTGGTGTTTGATGCTTCTGGGATAGGACTTGTTTCTGCGACAGATCCCTTGTGCCTCTGCTCGGGTTTCCTTCTTGTCCAAGTGTTGAAACCATGCATGCATGCATTGTTCCTGGGGAAGGCTTGTGGGACTGAAGAATTAGGCACCTTACCAGAGTGCCGGCTCGGGGCCTCAGTTTTCCAGGCCAGACTTGAACTTGAAGGAGCTTCTTGGTGTAGTTCAGGGCCCAGACGCTCTCACTGCTGATCAGTCTCTGCGGGAAACCAGGCTTTATCCCTCGTGTTGGTAGAGGCTATCAATGGGAACAAAGGTAAGTTCGGGCTCTGCCAATAAATGCAAACAAAACACCGGTCACTGAACCCTCAACCTAGCTGCAGAAACAGCCAGTGATGTTAGATGGAGCGTGAAGAAAGCTGACCACCGGATCAGAACTGGAGCCAACATTCCTAGAATCTAGAGAGAATGGGGCGCCAGAACCTGGCAGGAAATTAGTCATGATGAGAAAGCAAATATCTGCTCCATCTACTCTCCTGGGACTGAGAGAGGGGATTCTTGCACCCTGTTCGTGTCATTGGAACTGCTTGTACAGTTTTTTTCTCCCATAATTAGTTGTACAGGTGGGTGTTCAAGAAGCACATTCCGTCTCGACTTCTTTATCTACCCTTGCCTACTGCCTTATCTTCCACTGCCTAAGCACCTTTGGATTTCACACTGTCCACATGGCTTATACCTCACTGGCCCTGTCTGCTTATAAACACTGCATCTTTCCTATAAAATGGGGAACAAACATCACCTGTACCATAGCATTGTTGGGAGCAGCACATGGTAAGCAAGTGGTGTTTAAGGACCCTAGCTCAGCTCTTGAGCGCATCAGTGCTCATCGTCTTTACTGCGTCGTTGATGGTTTTTCCTCTGTAGCTCCACATCGTTTCTCCTTCTTGTAAAACGTGTTATGGTTTCCTACAAAGAACAGTCATTCCTATTCTTTTCGTGTGTTACTTGGGTAATTTTAACTCACTGTTTTTTGATGATTTACGTGCTTGGTGGGGCTTTGCGGAAGAAGGCCTGTGGTTGTGGCACAATCTCTGTCTCCTCAGAAACTCAGAATGTACTGTCTGCCTCCTCAAAGGCTCATTTCTAAGGATGACATCACTGACATCCAGATTGATCATCGGTCTCTGTCTGGATCCTCCCATTTCTGAGAACTGAAAATCGCTGTGAGTTCCTGGTATTATCTGAACCAGAGTGGATTATCAGGAAACAAAACACAGTGATCATGTCACTTGCTACTCTGCCTTAATTATAAGTAGGATTGTTCATATTAAAATTTGGAATAAAAAATCATACCAAACAGACTAAATTATTGCTTTCTATTCTTTCCACAGAATAAACATAAAGTGCCCCACTTTTGATTTCCTATCTCTGCAGGAAAAATAAACAATAGGTGAATAGCTTGGAAAGCAGTTATTCAAAGGCTTCTCACCTGCAATTGTCAAAATCACATGGAAGAAAAGCCTAAGGAATCTATATTAATATTTGTAGACAGAAAAACAAGTTGGTAATGTTGCCTGGCATAAGGCCAATATAAAAAGTAGACTACTTCTATGTGCTAGTAAGTAATCATTAGACATAAAAAGGAACTACTGCATTCTCAGTGGCATCAGAAAACTAAAATACTCAGGAATAAACATAATGAAGATATGATTGGATTGTCTTTTATAAACAAATAAGATGAAAAAATTTCTACGGCAGATAAAACAAATAACGTGAAGCAATTATAGCAGGTTTATGAATCACACAATTCAATATCATTACGGCGGGAAGCTTCTCTCAATTGACTTAGAGTTTCAATGCAACCTCAATCACAAACATGGTATGTTTTATTGAAAATGACAAGCTGAAAATAAATTTTACTTGGTATAAGTAGAACTGATCAAGCAATTTTGAAAAAGGAAAACAAATATGGTGGACTTACCACCTCAGACAGATAAAGGTACAGGAATTACGAGTGAGTGGTATGGGCATTAGAAGACGTGTGTAGACTGATTGAACAAAATAGATCATCCTGAAAGAGATTAATACCCACATGACCAATTGACATTCTTGAAAAAAAGAGATTGATAGAGGCATTCAAGGAAGAGCTATTGTTCTATCAATAAATGGTGTTAGAACAACTGGGTGACTCTGACACTGTATGCAAAACTTAATCAAACAGAATCAGGTACATATGTGAAAGATCTAAAGTTCTTGAAGGAAACGTTAACAGGGAAAACTTTTTTGCGTTTAGTTTTATAAAAAAAAACTCTTGAAGAGGATGAAAAACACTCCATATGGGATTTCATTTCTGTGATTACCTGTAAAAGACAACACGTTCTGAGGCAGCCCCGAGGAGACACTCACCTGGATAGAGACCTGGTCTTGCCACGCTCCCCATGCCCGACATTAGAAAGGGATTATCCTTCCTCAGGTGAGCCTTCAGGTGGGACTGTAGTCGCTCCAGGTGACAACTCTCCTGTGACCTCAGGAAAGACCTTGAGCAAGAAGCTCTCAGCTAAGCGTGCCCAGTTTTCAGACCTACAAAAACTATGAGACAGTAAATGCTTCTTTTATTCCTAAGGTAAAAATCTGAACTAGTTTGGAAGTACTCAGTTTGGTGCTGAGGTTCAGGTTGGAGGTGAAAGTCTGGCTACATGAGGTTTTCATTCGCTTTCTGGCTTAGCTGCTGTTACCAGGAGTACTGAGATCATAAAATGGCTCAGTCCATAGCCTCAGGGATCAAGCTGAAGTCCAAACAACAGTCTTAAAGGAGAAAATAAGTAATTAGTCTTTTTAATTTAAGAGCACTATAGATATATTTGGAATGCCCATTTAACAAAATCAGTCAACTACTAATACCATCCTCATTACTCCACCATAATGCTAATCAGAATTTATTTAGCATTTGTGTGTGAACAAAATAAACAATATCTTGTTCATTAGTCCTCACTTTATTCTCATTCTCTCTCTCATCTGTTCTAAACTTATATACAACTATATCCAGGAACCAGAAAAATGAAACTCTGGCCCAATTATAATCAAGTAAAGAATGGGCCTGTTGGGGTGGTTATTTGGCACAGTGGCTGAGACATTGCTTAAGATGCCCACATTTCCTATAGGAATGCCTGGGTTTGAGTCCCTGCTCTGCATCCAATCCTAGTTTTTTTTTTTATTTTTTTTTATTTTTTATTTTTTTTTATTTGAAAGGTAGAGTCATAGACAGTGAGAGAGAGAGACAGAGAGAAAGGTCTTCCTTCAGTTGGTTCACTCCCCACATGGCCGCCGCTATGGCCGGTGTTGCACTGATCCAAAGCCAGGAGCCAAGTGCTTCCTCCTGGTCTCCCATGCGGGTGCAGGACCCAAGCACTTGGGCCATCCTCCACTGCCCTCCTGGGCCACAGTAGAGAGCTGGACTGGAAGAGGAGCGACCGGGACTAGAACCTGGTGCCCATATGAGATGCTGGCGCCGCAGGCAGAGGATTAACCAGGTGAGCCATGGCGCCGGCCCCCAATCCTAGCTTCTTACTAAAGTGCACTGTGGGAAGCAGGAGGTTGTGGCTCAAATGGTTGGTCCCTTCCATCCACATATGAGCTAGAGTTTGGTTTCTGGGCTCCTGGCTTCAGTCTGCTACAGACCTGACTGTTATGGACATTTGGAGAGTGAACCAACATATGCAAGCTCTCTGTCTCTCCCTCTCTATCTTTCAAATAGGTTAAACATTCATTAACTAATATAAAAAGTTTTTAACAGAATGTGTTATAGTAAGCGAAATCTTCATGTTTGTATCTCATATAGAAAAAAGTTAAAATATGCAAATCTGACATTGTGACAATAAAGACAAGAGGGTAGTATGGGTTCATACTTTTTTTTTTTTTTGACAGGCAGAGTGGACAGTGAGAGAGAGAGAGACAGAGAGAAAGGTCTTCCTTTTTCATTGGTTCACCCCCTCAATGACCGCTCCAGCAGCGTGTTGCGGCCGGCGCACTGCGCTGATCCAAAGGCAGGAGCCAGGTGCTTCTCCTGGTCTCCCATGCAGGTGCAGGGCCCAAGCACTTGGGCCACCCTCCACTGCACTCCTGGGTCACAGCAGAGAGCTGGCCTGGAAGAGGAGCAACTGGGACAGAATCCAGCGCCCTGACCGGGACTAGAACCCAGTGTGCTGGTGCCGCAGGTGGAGGATTAGCCTATTGAGCCGTGGTGCCGGCCAAGGGTTCATACTTTTTAAAACAAAAGTTATAAATAAAGTTATTGGGAAATTTCTTTTTTAAAAGATTTATTTATTTACCTTAACGTCAGAGTTACACAGAGAAAGAGAAGAGGCAGAGAGAGAGAGGGAGAGAGATCGTCCATCCGCTGGTTCACTCCCCAGATGGCTGCAACAGCCAGAGCTGTGCTGATTCGAAGCCAGGAGCTAGGCGCTCCCTCTGGGTCTCCTACATGGGTGCAGGGGCCCAAGGACTTGGGCCATCTTCCACTGCTGTCCCAGGCCATAGCAGAGAGCTGCATGGGAAGTGGAGCAGTCAGGATTTGAACTGGCGCCCATATGGGATGCCGGCACTGCAGGCAGCGGCTTTACCCCTACAACACGGCACTGGCCCTGGGAAATTTCTTACTTTAAAAAAATTTGAGGCTACTTATGCAGATAGATACATAATCCTAAGTCTGTTACTGGGTTTCTTCTGATTTCCCACTCCCCACTGTATCTGTTTATTATCATTTTGACTATCACGGCTCAAAATAAAGTCCTACAGATGCTCTCCCTATAGCAACCAGTCCAGCCTTCATCCATGAACCTCTTTTCTCCAAATCATCTTGCTTACACTCAGTTTCCATATAAATTTAGAGCTATCCTTCAAGTTCTTGTAAACTTATGGACTTTTCATTGTAATTACTCCACCAATGACTTTATTAGCTAATTGGGGGAAGAATTAATTTTTAAAAACTATTTAATTTTCTTATCCTAAGCACGCTATGCACCATGATTCCTTTTAAAGTATTACAATTATCTTTAAACTTCTTACTACAATTACTTGCATGTGTTTTATGTTTATTAATTAGCATAATTATAAATGGCATCCGTTTTTCATGACATTTATTTTCCAAATTTTGTTAGCATTTAGAAAATATCTTGATTTTTTTTATCTTGCTGTAATTAACAGTCAGTTCCTTTGGAGTATTTTTTTTTAATTTTAAAAATATTTTATTTATTTATTTGAGAGGTGGAGTTGCAGACAGAGAGAGGGAAAGACAGAAAGAGAGGTCTTCAGTCCTCTGGTTCACTCTCCAAATGGCCATAACAGCTGGAGCTGGGCCGATCCGAAGCCAGGAGCAAGGAGCCAAGAGCTTCTTCAGGGTCTCCCACATGGGGACAGGGGCTCAAGCATTTGGGCCACCGTCCACTGCGTTCCCAGGCTGTCAGTAGAGAGCTGAGTCAGGAGAGCAACCAGGACATGAACTCATGCCCATGTGGGGTGCCGGCGCCGCAGGCAGAAGCTTAGCCCACTACACATAGCACAGGTCCCTCCTTGGCGTCTTTAAAGCTTTGTCACTTTGATGAAGGCTTCTTCTTGCTTTGTTTTTCTTGAGACGTTTTTCCTGGGATGAATAGAAAAAAAAACAAAACAAACATATCAGCACAAAAGTGAAAAGACCTGGAAAGCATACACAGTGTGTGTTTTAGAGCAAGATGGTCCTTTACCCAGCAGCTTTGGTAAAATTCATGAACTTCACCTGAGTGTTCGAATTGATCATAAATTAAATCCTGGCCAACAGGGCAGGGTCTGGGCAGGCAGCTTTGGTAGTTTCTAGTCTTAGCTTGGACCCAGTGGCGTTGGAGAAGGGTTTCAGAATCCAGTCTCATTCTTCATTATTTGAAAATACTGTGCTACTCCTTTTTTCTCTTTCTTCCGCACTTTCATTCTTAGTGAAAACCAGATGGAACGTGTCTCATAGGCAGTCCTGACCTTGGTCCCCCCCCCCCCCCCCAGACTCTTCATTGACGAGGGAAGACCTCAGACCTTCATGAACTGGCAGTGCCAAGAGCTTACCAGTACTCATGGGGCTGTGGTACCAGGGACTGGGGGATGAGGGTCTGATGTTTGTGAAATACTCCCAGGGGTGTATGTGTCACCCTAGGGAACTGAGGGCCAAGGACACCTACTTGTGGTCTCTCCACCTCTAAACCTGCTTTCCCACTGAACTTGTGGAAGAAATGTAAACCAAAGGCAGTGACTACACAGAAATACCCCGGGTCTAAGTCAGCCCAGGGCACAGTGGCCCCTGGTTGATGTTTTCTCTCCTGGTTAGGGGTGTGTAGCACACAACTTCCTTCAGGGGCAGCTGGAGGGTCACTCACTCATCTTCCACATCCTGGATGGAGTCAGGCAGAGGCTGGTTCCTGGTCTCAGGGAGGAGGAGGACAACAAGGCCAGCGAGGATGGAGAAGCCTCCGTAGATGATCCAGGGTGAGGGTGCATAGTACACGGTGAGGATCATCAAGAGGGGAGCCAGGGAAGACCCAAGACTGCCTGCAATTCCAGCGATTCCGGCAACTGTTGCCCTTGGAATACAAACAGCAGCACAAGAAAACGTGGTGAAAGTCTGCACATGTGACTTACCATTGTGCATTAAATATGGGAGACAGCAAACAGTGGTATATTTAGATATATGGAGATTGACGACCTACTCTTGTTTTTGAAATTTCTCTCTTATTTGCTAGAAATTTGTCTCAATCTCACAGTGTATTAAGACACTTTGTTGGGGCCAGAATTGTGGTCCATTGGGTTAAGCCACTGCTTGTAGTGCTGGGATCCTGTTATCAGATCACCAGTTCCAGTCCTGGCTGCTCTGCTTCCAAGGCAGCTCCCTGCTAATGTGCTTGAGAGAACAGCAGAAGCTGGCCTATGTACGTGGGCCCCTGCCACCCAGGTGGGAGACCCAGATGGAGTTCTAGGCTCCTGGTTTTTGCCTGACCCAGCCCTGGTCATTGTGGCCATTTGGGTAGTGAACCAGCAGATAGAAGATCTCTTCCTCTCTGTCTCTCTTTTTCCATCACTCTGCCTTTCAAATAAATAAAACGAATCTAAAAAATGACACCTTGTTTATCATTTAAAAAGTACTGTTGTTTAAAGGGCCACCTTTTGGGTGATTGGGAGCACATGAGATGGTACCTTAGAGGCCTTAACACAGTGCCTGGCAAAAAGTTGGCTTTCAGAAACCTTTGGTCATGGTTACTGCTGTGTTGCTGTCTTTATTTTCCTCATTACAACTGATTGCTTTGATAGCGATCGAATCTTCTTGTTCTTCCCTTGATAAGTATCCATTAGCTAGGAAAAGTCTATTTTGACCCCACCAGAGCATCCAAGAGATTTTGTACCTGATTATGGTGGGGATTAGCTCATTTCCATGGGCAAGAGAACTGGTAAGAGAGGCGAAAGAAAGTCCTCCTCCCAATGTTGCCACAACCACACGCACGGTCTGTGTTTCTGGAGAGAGGAAGACCAGTGAGACTCAGGAAAAGTGAGCGGAAGGGGCGAGCCTCCCCAAAGTGGTGGATGGAAAACACCTTGTTGGAAGCGTTTGCAGCTGTAAAATACATCACAGGGAAATCGCACAGAGGAAGAATGTGCGCAGGGACCGCTAAGCCGAAACGTGGCTTGTCTACACGTTCACTTTGTGGTGAATAAGAAGTTCTGAATTATTGCATTCACTCTCTCCACTTCTCTGAGATTTGCCAAAGAAGGAGAGGAGAAGCTGAGTCTAGGATGTCACTGTCATTTTCTTTTCTATACAGTGTCTTCTCCACCTTTCATATAGAATGAAATGTGGGTGATTACTTGTGTAAGACTTTTGCACAGCACTGGGGAACATGCACAGTCATAAAAGGACAGGAGGCCCATCTCAGTGGACCATCTAGAGTGTAATTTGATCTAGAGTAATGTTTCAGGGATTAAATATTAGGACCTCTGTTAAGACTAAAATATCAGGGTTTAGAGACACTGGTGTGGGTTCAGCTGTAAGGCAGCAAGCTGACATCACTGGTAACATTCAAGAGGAGTGTGGTCCACTGATGTGGGTTTTATAAAACACAGCACTATGCTGGGAATTATATGAAGCATGGTGGCCACTTGTGCTCCCTATACATTGCATATGATCATTCAACTTAGGAAAATCAATTCTAAGAGACTCTCAAGTACTTACTATGTTGCTATAACTGCACACGTATTCCCTGCTTGAAGCCAAGGAATTTTTATTTCCTTAAATCAAGATAACTCCTCAAATGAGAGCTGCAGCTATGATGACTTAATATGAGACTTGTTAGTGGATATGTATAGATCAGGGAATAAGTTGTCGCTGGATCTATGGCAATAAGTTAGAGCCTGATGGAGGAAGTGGCCGGCAGAGGAAGGGGCTGACAGAGGACATGGCACTCTGGTGGGGTCATGGCAGGATACGATACAAGCTCTAGACCCTCCGTACCTCTAAAAAGGGGGAACCATCAGGCATAAACGGCATCAGTTTCCAGATACTTCTTGGTTGTTAGGGAGACAATCACGCATTTCAGCTGAATTTTACTGAGCTTTTCTCTTTTCCCAGCAGCTTAGTGACAGAATCTGTACTAAAAACCCAGCTTGATATCAGGAAAAAACCCAATTCACTTCCTTACAGTTTCAAATAGTTGTGACTTGTACAATCCCTCAGGAAAATGGTGTGTGTGTGTGTGTGTGTATGTGTGTGTGTATGTGTATATATATGTGTGTATGTGTATATATGTGTGTGTATGTGTGTATGTGTGTATTTGTGTGTGTATGTGTGTGTTTGGGTATTTCCTTGTTTCACCCTGTGCTCGTTCCTCACCTTGAGGTACAAATATGAGGGCCAGAATGCAGAGTCCCACCAGGAACATGAGAAGCAATTGACTGATTCGACGGCCCATGTGATTCAGTGCCAAAAGTGCGACATAATTGGCAGGAAGGGTGACTGCACCAAAGAGAACCTGGAACAAGAAAACATTGCTCCCCAAGTGCTGGAGGTGGAGGCTCAGGCCAAAAAGGTGCATGAACGTTGCAAATCTGTAGTGAATATAGAGGAAAGACACATCATGAGATTTAGCACTTACCTCCAATGGATGATAGCCATGTTGGCCAAAGCCAGAGGTTGGTGTGAAAATATAAAGGCATGTCCATTTACTTTGTGGAATACTTCCATGCAGGGGATGATTTAAGAAATTTTGTTGGGGCCGGCGCTGTGGTGCAGTAGGTTAATCCTCCGCCTGCAGCACTGGCATCCCATATGAGTGCCGGGTCAAGTCCCAGCTGCTCCACTTCCAGTCCAGCTCTCTGCTGTGGCCTGGGAAAGCAGTGGAAGATGGCCCAAGTCCTTGGGCCCCTGCACCCACTTGGGAGACCAAGAAAAAGCTCCTGGCTCCTGGCTTTGGATTGGTGCAGCTCCAGCCGTTGCAGCCATTTGGGGAGTGAACCAATGGAAGGAAGACCTTTCTCTCTCTCACTGTCTGTAACTCTAACTCTCAAATAAAGTAAATAAAAATCTTTAAAAGAAGAAATTTTGCAGTTACATGAAGATGGAAGCCATTGTTGTTGTTAATTTTTTTTTTATTGGGTGGGTACAGGGTATTGTCATGGAAGATACATGATAGGGCCTTGGAGGGTTTTAGAGTTTTTTTCTATACCATGACTTTAGTTGTGGCTGTATTTCAACATATGCAAATATTTTCATTGAGCTGTATCTATGTGTGTATTTTGCTGTTTGAAATTTTACCTCAATGAAAATGGAAACCAACAAATAAAGAGAGTTAGAGCCCAAGTCTTTGTCATGATTGAAGTTCTCAGCATCAGTCTCCAGTGACAAGCCTGGCAGGGTTATGTGATAAACAAAGATCCTCACGGTACAATGAGTTCTGGGTCCAGCTTTGCATAATTTTTTGACTACATTCAACCATCACAATTCTTTTTAATGTCCTCCTTGTCGTTTATCTCCAAATCTATTCCTACAATATACTCTATCCTTTGAAATAAGAAATAAACTCACATCTCCACTATTTTTTTTACAGGCAGAGTGGATAGTGAGAGAGAGAGAGAGACAGAGAGAAAGGTCTTCCTTTGCCTTTGGTTCTCCCTCCAATGGCCGCCGCAGCTGGCGTGCTGTGGCTGGCACACTGTGCTGATCCGAAGCCAGGAGCCAGGTGCTTCTCCTGGTCTCCCATGGGGTGCAGGGCCCAAGCACTTGGGCCATCTTCCACACCCTTCCTGGGCCACAGCAGAGAGCTGGCCTGGAAGAGGGGCAACTGGGACAGAATCCGGCGCCCTGACTGGGACTAGAAGCCAGTGTGCCAGCGCCACTAGGCAGAAGATTAGCCTATTGAGCCACGGCGCCAGCCCACATCTCCACTATTTTAATAGGCCCTGTATGAAGCCTACCTCACAAAGGACATTAACCAGATCCGTTTCCGCAGGTTGGGTGAACGGAACAAGTCACGTGCAGAAGGCTTTTTCTGTGCCGTCTCCAGCTCCTCCTGCATAGCAGAATTCAGAACCTTCAACAACAACAATGATAAATAGTTTCAGTTATCAAAATCTGGTAGACATGATGGAGAGCAATGGACATCCAATAAAGTGTAACACAGATGACTGCTGTTTCTGTCTCGTGGAAAATATTGACCTTAAAATGTAGTTGCAGTTGGAAAAGCACCATGAAATGTGAGTTGGTAGCTGAAGGAGCCTCAGGGAAGTTACACATCAAGGAAATTTTATTTAATTTACAAAAAGATTTATGCAGTGGGGGCACCAGTTCTGTCCCGGTTGCTCCTCTTCCAATCCAGCTCTCTGCTGTGGCCTGGGAAGGCAATGGAGGATGACCCAAGTGCTTGGGCCCTGCACCCGCATGGGAGACCAGGGGGAAGCACCTGGCTCCTGGCTTTGGATCGGCGCAGTGTGCCGGCCTTAGTGGCCATTTGGGGGGTGAACCAATGGAAGGAAAACCTTTCTCTCTGTCTCTCTCTCTCACTGTCTAACTCTGCCTGTCAAAAAAAAAAAAAAAAGATTTATACAATGCCTTATGTGGAACGTTTTGTCAGACTGAAACTTGAGAAGCCTGCATCACAGCAAGGGAGAAAAATTTAGAGAAGAATGAAAAATTTATTTAGAAGAAGTTTCCACATCCTTCTGAAGCCCCGAAGTCAAGTCTTGTCTATGATATCTAAATTCTTGATTTACCATGTTGTTTTTATTGCATAATACAGAAGTAAAAATATATTTAAGTGGCTTATAAAGAAATTGAGTTTTCAGTCTAATCACTTATCAGTTGTTTTGTTAATATGACAAAACTAATTCTGAAAGTGCTCATACTTTTTTAAAGATTTATTTATTTATTTGAAAAGCTGAATTACAGAGAGGCTGAGAGAGAGAGAGAGAGAGAGAGAGAGAGAGAGAGAGAAGTCATCCATCTGCTGGTTCACTCCCCAAATGACCACATAACAAACAGAAATTGAAAGCATTTCTCACAACTCATCCGGCCTACAAAAGATGCTACACACGGTAATACAGAAACATGGTCATCACTATGAAAGAAGGTGAGGGGCAGCAAATCTCCCAATAAAAGTACAAAGGAAATCCAAAATAAGCAACAGGAATATTTATGGAAAACAGCAGGGCCAAGTCATTACTTAGCAATAGTTACCTTGAATGTAAATGGCCTCAACTCTAGTTAAAAGATACAGACTGGCTGAATGGATTAAAAAACAAAACCGATATATTTGCTGCCTATACAAAATACATCTTACCAACAAAATACATGCAGACTGAAAGTGAAAGGATGGAAAAAGATATTCCATGCTAACAGAAACCAAAAAAGAGCTGGTGTAGCCATCCTAATATCAGACAAAATAGACTTTAACATATAAACTGTTAAAAGAGATAAAGAAGGATACTATGTAGTGATTAAAGGATCAATTCAACAGGGAGAAGTGACTATTACAAAAGTATATGCACCTAATTACAGGACACTTGGTTATTTATAAGAAATATTAGTGGATCTAATGGGAGACATAGACCCCAATACAATAGTAATGGGGTACTTTAGTACCCCACTTTCAGCAATGGACTGATCTATAAGACAGAAAATCAGCAAGGAAACAACAGAGTTAATCGACACTATAGACCAAAAGGACCTAACAGATATTTACAAAAATTTTCATCCTAGTCATAGAATACACATTCTTTTCATCAGTGCCTAGAACTTTCTCTAGCATAGACCACATGCTAGGCCATAAATCAAACATCAGCAAATTCAAACAAATGGAAATCATACCATACATCTTCTCTGGCCACAATTGAATGAAGCTGGAACTCAACAACTCAAGAATCTCTAGAACATATGCAAACACACAGAAACTGAACAACATGCTTCTGGATGAACAGTGGTTCATAGAAGAAATCAAAAGAGAAATCAAAAAATTTCAGGAAACAAATGAAGACAACATTACAACATATCAAAACCTACAGGATACAGTAAGAGCGATATTAAGAGGAAAGTTTATATCAATTGGTGCTTGCATCAAGAAATGGAAAGGCACCAAATAAATGAGCTATAAATGTACTTCATAGACCTACAAAAACAATAGTAAACCAAACCCAAAACTAGTAGGAGAAAAAAATAATTAAAATTAGAGAAGAAATAAACAAAATTGAAACAAATTGGCCTGAAGTGCTGGCAATCCCATATGGGCACTGGTTCTAGTCCTGGCTGCTCCTTTTCTGATCTAGCTCTCTGCTATGGCCTGGGAAAGCAGTAGAAGATGGCCCAAGTCCTTGGGACCTGCACCTGAAATCAAAGTGGTACAAATTGGGACGGAAGAAGTCAAACTATCCCTATTTGCAGATGACATAATTCTATATATAGAGGATCCAAAGGACTCCATGAAGAGACTAGGAACTCATAGAAGAGTTTAGTAAAGTAGTAGGATATAAAATCAATATACAAAAATTAACAGCCTTTGTATATAGAGACAAAGCCATGGCTGAGAAAGACCTTATAAGGTCAATCCCATTTAAATAGGTACAAAAATATCAAATACCTTGCAATACATTTAATCAAGGATGTCAAAGGTCTCTATGATGAGAATCGCAAAATTTTAAGAAAGAAATAGAAGACAAAAACAATGGAAAAATCTTCTATGTTCATGGATTAGAAGAATCAATGTCATCAAAATGTCCATACTACTGAAAGCAATTTACAGATTCAATGCAATACTAATCAAAATACCAAGGATATTCTTCTCAGATCTAGAAAAAATGATGCTGAAATTCATATGGAAATACAGGAGACCCCAAATATCTAAAGCAATTTTATGTATCAAAAACAAAGCTAGAAGCATCACAATTCCAGATTTCAAAGCATACTACAGGGAAGTTATAAGCAAAACAGCCTGGGACTGGTACAAAAAACAGGTGGATGGACCAGAAGAGAAATGCTAGAAATCAACTCATGCATCTACAACCAACTTATCTTTGACAAAGGGGCTAAAATCAATCCCTGGAGCAAGGACAGGCTCTTCAACATAGGTGCTGGGGAAATTGGATCTCCACATGGAGAGGTATGAACCAAGACCTGTACCTTACACCTTACACAAAAATCGACTCAAAATGGACTAAAGACCTAAATCTATGACCTGATACCATCAAATTATTTGAGAACATTGGGGGAACTCTCTAAGACATTGGCACAGGCAAAGAGTTCTTGGAAAAGACCCCAGAGGCACAGGCAGTTAAAGCCAAAATTGACAAATCAGATTACAGCAAATTGAGAAGCTTCTGCACTGCAAAAGAAACAATCAGCAAAGTGAATAGACAACTGACAGAATGGGAGAAATTACCTGCAACTATGCAACTGAAAAAGGATTAATAACCAGAATATATAAGGATATCAAGAAATGCAACAACAACAAAATAAACAATCCGGGTAAGAAATGGGCAAAGGACTTGAAGAAACAGTTTCAAAAGAGGAAATCAAAGGGGCCGGTGCTGTGGCTCAGTGGGTTAATGCCTTGGCCTGAAGTGCTGGCAATCCTATATGGGCACTGGTTCTAGTCCTGGCTGCTCCTCTTCTGATCTGGCTCTCTGCTATGGCCTGGGAAAGCAGTAGAAGATGGCCCAAGTCCTTGGGACCCTGCACCTGCCTGGGAGACCGGGAAGAACCTCCTGGCTCCTGGCTTTGGATCAGCGCAGCTCTGGCTGTTGCGGCCAATTGTGGAGTGAACCAACGGATAGAAGACCTCTCTCTCTCTCTCTCTCTCTCTCTCTCTCTGTAAGTCTTTCAAATAAATAAATAAATAAATAAATCTTTAAAAAAGAGGAGATCCAAATGGTGAACAGACACACGAAAAAATGTTCAGGATCACTAGCTGTCAGGGAAATGCAAATCAAAACCACAAGGAGGTTTCACCTTATCCCTGTTAGAATGGCTTAAATACAGAAATAAACAAACAACAAATTCTGGTGAGGATGTGGGTACAAAGGTACCATAATGCACTGTTGGTGGGAATGTAAACTGGTAAAGTCACTGTGGAAGACAGTATGCAGATACCTCAGAAATCTGAATATAGACCTACCATAGACTCAGCCATCCCACTCTTGGGAATTTACTCAAGGGAAATGAAATCAGCATATGAAAGAGTTATCTGTACCCCCATGTATTGCAGCTCAATTCACAATAGCTAAGACATGGAATCAACCTAAATGCTTGTCAACTGAAAACTGGATAAAGAAATTATGGGATATGGACACCACAGAATCCTACAAAATGGTTAAAAATAAAAGAAACACTTTTGTTTGCAACAAAATGGATGAAGCTGGAAACATCATCCTTAGTGAAATAAGCCAGTCCCAAAAGGACAAATACCATATGTTCTCCCTGATCTGTGATAACTAATACAGCACCTAAAAGATAATCTATAGAAGTGAAGTTGACACTTTGAGATGCAGCGACTTTGAACAGCCTTTGTCTTGACTGTTGAGGGACAGTTTTTAAATACTATTTGTTGAACTCTTTACTTAGTATAGAGTTAATCATATGTGTATAAAGTTAATTGAAAATAGATCTTAGTAAGAAATAAAAATGGGAATAGGATTGGGAGGAGGAAGAGGGGTAGGAGGGCAGATACGGTAGGAAGAACCAGTATATTTCTAAAGTTGTACTTATGAAATGCATGAAATTTGTATTCCTTAAACAAAAGGTCTAGAAAAATGTACAACATTATCTGTCAACAAAAAAGTAAATTTTTAAACTTAACAAAGGATGAAATTCTGTTGGGGAGCTTGAGTAAATTCAGTTGGAGGAGTTCAGGGGGAAAAAGTGCTTTTCGTGCTTCTGAGTAAAATATCTGTGTCCAATCTTTTTATCAGTAGCGTTTTACATTTTTTGGACATCCATGAATGTATATTTGAGGCCAAAGCTTCCCTGTATGTAATAATCAGCCCCCATCCTGCTCACCTCCATGGTTAGGATGTCCTCGGAATTCTTCACTCCATTCCTACTGGCAGCTTTTCTAAGTTCCTTTAAGCCCTCCTGGGGTTTGTTGTTGATAATCAGCCACCGAGCAGACTCCAGTACCCATCTGACCAAAGGAGATGATGGAAATGTCATCGACTCTCATCCACTCATTATTCATATAACCTTTATCCTGTGATGTTTTGTGCCTCTGATATAATAGTTATTACTTGTTCAGTTATGCTGAGAAACTAGAAAAACAGGAAGTGACCCCTCCATGAAGGACACTTTCACTTCTGGGAATTCAGAGTTGGAGTCTCATTGGCTCCCTTCTCATGCAGATACAAGTTCTCACAAAACTGGACCATGAGGAGCTTCTAATTAGACAGGCTTCTGTCAAGCTCCTGTAAGGGCATAGAAATATTTATGCATAATGTATTCTTTTCCTAAAATAAGACTCCTCAAATTATTTTTGTACACTAAGTGTGTTGTTTGTACTGGAACCACTCTTGCTGCCTCTACTATTGATGAAATCTGGCACAGAAGCAAGCTACAGCTGCCTGTTTTCTCATATATGTAACGGGGACAAGCAGTGCCATGAAATTTATAGATTTGTTATGAGATAAAATGACATGATGAATGAGCCTGCCCTAGCGTACACTGTCTTGCCTGTGTAATCTCATCTCACTGTAGTAAATATATAACCATCTCTCTGAGGGTTATTTTTAACCAAATAGGCTCCATCCATTAAACTAGCCTTCAAAGGAGGTGGAACATCATAGCCCTTCTAAAGTTTGCTAAAGAGAGGAAGGAAAGATAACCCGCAGAACAAATAATGCAAGTCATTCAATCTGGCTGCATTAAAAAAATAGAAATAATTTATTTTGTGGAGGCAGGGAGGAAGAGGGAGAGGTGTCCTATCCACTGGCCCACTCTCCAAATTCCCATAACATTCACGGCTGTAGCCAAAGTCAGGGACTAGGAACTCAGTTCAGGTTCCCCACTTGGGTGGAAAATATCCAGTTAGTTGAGCCACCACTGCTGCCTCTCAGGGTCTGTATTAGCAGGAACCTGGAATCATGGGATGTGGGCTTATTTTTTAAAAAAGATTTATTTATTTGAAAGGCAGGGTTATGGAGAGAGAGAGAGAGAGAGAGAGAGAGGGAGAGAAAGATATCTTCCACCCACCAGTTCACTCCCCAAATTAATGTAACAGCCAGTGCTGGGCCAGGCTGAAGCCAGGAGCCAGGAGCTTCTTCCATTTCTCTCACATAGGTGCAGGAGCCCAAGCACTTTGGCAATCCTTCACTGTTCTCCCAGTCGTATTAGAAGGGAGCTGGATGGAAGGGGTGCAGCTGGGACTTGAACTGACACTTATATGGGATGCTGGTGCTGCAGGTGGTTGCTTAACCCATAGAATGTGGGCATCTTAACCATCATCATAACCGCTAGGCCAGCTGCGCACCCCTGCTATGCTTCTCTAATTGCACGTAGGGCGCACACTCAGGTGTACACTAAGGACTGAATGGAATTCTTGTGTCCTGGTTCCCAGATCATCATCCCAGGATCCCATGAGACAAAGGGAAAAAGGAAGTTCATACCTTGAAATTATAAATAATAAAAATATTGGCACAGACATCACTAGCTGGAGGGTGCACCAGTTTCGAACAGCAAAAGCCAGACCTCCCAATAGTATCTGTCCAATACTAGCAGCAGACACTGCCAATGTCATTCCCGTAGCTTGGAACTGGGGCACTGTCCATTCTATGACTGAAAGGAAACATAAACTGAATCTTGATTTCAAACAAAGATGGAATATCAACGAAGTCAAAGTCAAGGCTTGAAAAATGTTCAGGATTCAACTTGTTGACTTACTAAGCATGGAATTATTTGCTAGGATCGCTGCAGTAGACATTCCAGACAAGAAGCGTAGAATGCAGTACACAAAGAAGGTGGGAGCAAAGGCCGCGCAGGTGTCAGCGATGGCGATTTGTAATAAGCACCATATGAGTATTAACCTCCTCCCATACCTGAGACAAAGCACAAGGTTAGATTATGGAATAAGAACAACTGTTACAAAAATTAGCAAAAACAATGCACTTTGAAAATAGCAAAAACAACCAATAGTCAAACACAGATATTCTCAAAAACAACTCTCATTGTTTGTAAATAAAAACCTAGTGGACCTAAGATTCTTCTCCAATTTGTTACCAGTTGAATTGACACCATTTTAAACAATATTTGTTTATTTATTTTAAAGGCAGAATTGCAGAGAGATGGGGACAGAGAGAGAGAGAGAGAGAAAGAGAGAGAGAAAGGAGAAAGAGATCTTCCATCCGCTCTTTCACTCCCCAAATGGCTACAATGACTGGGGCTGGGTGGTTCAGGCTGAAGCCAAGATCCTGGAACTCCATCTGCATTTCCCACATGGGTGGCAGGCTCCAAGTACCTGGGTGATCTTCCGTTGCTTTTCTATGTGCGTATCAGGGAACTGGATTGCAAATGAAGCAGCCAGGACTCGAACCTGTACCCACATGGAATGCTAGTATGGCAGGTGGTGGCCTAACCCAGTATACCATGCCAGCCTCAAATTGACACCAATTTTAACCAGGTGATAAGGGTCGCAATATTAGGGTTTTTAACACATCAAATATATCCCTTGTACAGAAGCAAGCATTTAGCATGTTAGAGTATACACTGTGTATGCAGGGCAAGATATGATCATTGGCACTTAGAAGTCTATGACTGTACAGCTCATGGCTAAAGTGGTGCAAAAGAAACATGTTGTGGGAGTGTGGGCAAGGGGGAGAGTAGGGTGGGAAGCATCATTATGCTTCTAAATCTATATTTATGAAATAAATGACATTTTTTCACCTTATATAAACAAAAACTGTGAAAAAATAAAATGGAACATGTTGGACCAGTACATCAGCATTTCTCGTGGGTGGCATGACTGTCTCCCCTCTCCTGAGTTTGGGTTTGTTGGCTGTGGGCAGTGCACTGCTTCTAGATTGGGATACAAGGAAAATCACAACTCACTGGCATCTGAAGAATGTTCTCAGAAGAAAGAGTTAGGTAACATGGAGAATGACGAAATACAGAATGAAAGCGATGTAACACTTAATCCGTAATAAAGGAGTAAGATGGTGGAGTAGGGAGGGAGCTTACTGCTCTCGTCTAGGAGAAGGTAGTTTTAAAAAAAAGTGAAGAGAGTGCAGTCTCAAGGAAGAGTTATGGAGAAAATGGCAGAGGAAACTCTACACAAATTGGGGGGATACAGTGGACATACATGGAGAGCGTGGACGCCCACAGCTCAGGACCCCAGCAGCTGAGAGCCTCCACACCAGTGTTGGAGAGTGAGGTGAGACCAGACTGCACAGCCCAAGCCACTGATGATAAAGCTGGAGGAAGTGCCTAGAGGGAATCTGGTTTGGAGCCCTGTGGGGGATAGTGTACCTGCCAAACTAGAGGAGAAAAAAAAGGAGGGGCATGTTTTTTTCTCTCTCCCTATCACCCTGCAACAGCATCCTATAACAAGCTGACAGGGAGCAGGTGCCATTTTTGACATACGTAACAACTGCACCAGCTCATGTCTGTACCCAGCAACCAGCTGAGTGTGGACTCCTGAGTCTGGCTGGGTGAACTGACAGGGAGCTGGGTGCCTATGACTGTGGGAGGCTTGTGTTCTGGGACTGTGAAAAAACTGAGGCTATGTGGGAGGGCTCAGAGTGTGGCTGGGACTTTGGGAAGTCACTGTGGAAGGCTCCACATGCTCAGGGTTCCCTGGTTACCTGGTGAGGGACATTATTGGAGAATCTGAGATTACACTGAGGACTGAATGGATCCTTTGTGCAGTCCTTGGGGCAGAGCAGACGAATATTATACTCACAGAAGACAGTGCTCAGGCACTGGTCTCCTTTGAGGAGAGGAGCTTAGCTGAGCAGAATAAACCTCCCCTATGATTAAAAAAAAAGAAGGAGTTTTACCACTCCAAACCTGGGTGTGTCACCTTAGACACGCCCTTCACCCTGGAGAACTGAACAGAGCTCCCTGCCCACATCCACGACATGCCTATAGACATTCACTGAAAGCAGACAGTCCACTAATCTACAGATGCATAGTATAAAGATAAAAGCTGCCACAGTGAAAGAACAAAGAAAAAAAGAGTAACTCCACAAATGCTGAATAACAAACACACCAATTCAAGAAACGAGAATAAGGAAGACAAGATGACTATTGGAACTCATAGAAGAGTTTGGTAAAATAGTAGGATATAAAATCAAATCAACAGCCTTTGTATACACTCGATGTCAAGGCTGAGAATGAACTTGTAAGGTCAATCCTATTCACAGTAGCTACAAAAAGAATCAAATATCTAGGAATAAATTTAAGCAAGGATGCCAAAGATCTCTATGATGAGAATTACAAAACATTAAAGAAAGAAACAGAAGAAAATCCAAAAAAAAAAAAAAAAAAAAAAAAAAGGAAAATCTTCCATGTTCATGGATTGGAAGAATCAATATCATCAAAAAGTCCATTCTTATAAAAGCAATTTACAGATTCAAAGCAATACCAATCAAAATACCAAAGACGTTCTTCTCAGATCTAGAAAAAATGATGCTGAAATTCATATGGAAACATAGGAAGCCTCGAATAGCTTAAGCAGTCTTATACAACAAAAAGCTGGAGGCATCACAATACCAGATTTCAAGACATACTATAGGCAGTTACAATCAAAACAGCCTGGCACTGGAACAAAAACAGATGGACAGACCAATGGAACAGAATAGAAATGCCAGAAATCAATCCAAGCATCTACATTCAACTTATATTTGACCAAGGAGCTATCCCTGGAGCAATCCCTGGAGCAAGGACAGCCTCTTCAACACGTGGTGCTGGGAAAACTGGATTTCCACATGTAGAAGTATGAAGCAAGACCCCTAGCTTACACCTTACACAAAAATCCACTCAACATGGATTAAAGACCTAAATCTATGACCAAACACCATCAAATTATTAGAGAATGTTGGGGAAACCCTGCAAGACATTGGTACAAGAAAAGAGTTCTTGGAAAAGATCCCAGAGCCACAGGCAATCAAAGCCAAATTTAAAAAATGGATTACATCAAATTGATAAGCTTCTGCTCTGCAAGAGAAACATTCATGAAAGTGAAGAGGCAGCTACACAGTGGGAGAAATTATTTGCAAACCAAGCATCTGATAAAGGATTAATAACCAGAATATATAAGGATATCAAGAAACTCAACAACAACAAAACAAACAACCCAGTTAAGAAATGGGCAAAGGACTTAAACATTTTTCAAAAGAGGAAATCCAATTGGCCAACAGAAACATGAAAAAATGTTCAGGATCACTGGCCATCAGGAAAATGCAAATCAAAACCACAAGGTTTCACCTCACCCCTGTTAGAATGGCTTTCATACAGAAATCTACAAATGCTGGTGAGGATGTGGGAAAATAGGTACTCTAATCCACTGCTGGTGGGAATGTAAACTGGTAAAGCCACTATGGAAGACAGTGTGGAGATACCTCAGAAATCTGAATATAGACCTACCATATCACCCAGTTATCACACTCCTGGGAATTTACCCAAGGGAAATGAAATCAGTAAATAAAATTATCCTTATCCTCATGTTTATTGCAGTACAATTCATAATAGCTAAGACATGGATCAACCCAAATGCCCATCAACTGAGGACTGGATAAAGAAATCATGAGATATGTATACATGGAATACTACACAATGGTAAAAAAGAATCCGGCCATTTGCAACAAAATGGATGAAACTGGACAACGTCATACTTAGTGAAATAAGCCAATCCCTGGAGGACAAATACCAAATGTTCTCCCTGATCTGTGATAATACTAATTGAGCACCTAAAATATAATCTATAGAAGTTAAATTGACACTTTGAGAAGTAATGACTTGAACAGCCCTTGTCTTGACTGTTCAGGAACAGTTTTTTTTTCTTCATACTATTTGTTGAATTCTTTACTTAACATAGAGTTAGTCGTATGTGTATAAAGTAACTGAAAAGAGATATCCATAAAAATAAAATAAGACTATGAGTAACAGAGTAGAAGGAAGTTTGTAACTGTAAAGCTGTATAGTTCTGCATAGATACTATGGACTTACTTCTAAGGGTACAGATTAAAAACTTGCCATGGGACCCCAGGTCCCATTAAGTTGGGTGGTAAAAATGCCATCTTATGCGTTAAGGTGATCATATTAAGTGTTAAAGTGAACATATAGATATGATTAAGTGTTAAAGTGCTCATATAAATAGGATCTAATAATAATAGAATTATAAAGTTGAGAATGTTGCAACATGGGAAATTGTCCACACAGCAGATTCATAGAATGACAATTGCTTTAAGTAGCAATCTGATCTCAGAATCAGCACTTAAGTCTTCCTGGTCTGGCTGAGAAGCCCATGAGAGTTTTCAGGCATGGAAAGCCAAGACACTGTGGCAAAAAATGTTCTACATGAAGGCTGTCTGTAAGTGAGACCCCAACGGAAAGAAGTGGCTGTCAAAGAAGGATGTAGTTTTCTCTGAAGGGAGGAGAGAACTTCTACTTTGCTTATGGCCTTTTCTAAATACTGATGGAGTTTGTGGATTCAAAAGGCTTCCATAGCCTAGGCAGCTCATGTCAAGAGCCTCAGGTGGTCACAGATGTCATACAGAAGAGTGTTAATTGTTAAATTAACAAGAGGAGTCATTGAGCCCTAACTTTCCATGCAGGATCTCTGTCCTCAATTGTATTATGAGATTTAACGTAAAACTTGTTCTCAAACAAACAAAAAAGAACAAAGCACTTTAAAAAGAGGGAATAAGAATTCTCATTTCCATAGATTTCTGGGAAAGAGAACATTTTTGTCAACTTGGACAAAAGCACTTGTGCTTATTTTATATGATCTGTCCTATTGACAGAAGTTGGGGTTGGTTAACTGTCCTGCAATCTATGCATCTGTTACAGCATATTATAATCTTACCTAAACATTTTATAG